TTTTTTTGTTTTTTTGTTTAATTTGTCCATAATTCAGAATGGATATCTCTAGGCATACTGTTCGAAGTTGAAAGGTTGAAATTAAAATCCCGTATCCCCAAAAATGAAACCAGGAAGAAATATTATTTACACCGGTTTTTATTTAGTTAAACTTTACTTAAATAAAGACGATTAAATAAACTGGAACTTTATATTTCTCTTCGACAATTAAAAAAATATTTCAATGTTCCTTTATTTATTATATAAAATTACTTTTAATGGTTACTGCTATCATTCTTTTTTTTAAAGATATTCACCATATTTGTTTTTTTTTTTTTTTTAACTCCTCAAATTCAATTCGCATATGGCTGAGTATAACAGACAGTTGTGTGTTTTTTTTTTTTGTTTTTTAGCTCATTAACTTCTCTCTTTATTTTTTTTCCATTTGTGTATATGGCAGAATATACTCTTCCATTGGTGTTTAGGATGCAAGCAATTTTGACTAAATATTTGGAAGAAAAAAAGAAAAAAATTTTAAAAAAATCGTACGTCTTAAACCATCCCCAAATGTGGCCACAATTCTCGGGGTCAGCTGTTTTGCCGTTTATATAAAAAAAAAAATAACAAAATTTAATAGACCGTCGACAAATAAGATAAAAAAAAACAGCCGCAAATAATACCTCGTTTGTTAGTATAACAGTTACTTGTAATTTAAATTAATAAGAAACCTTAACTTACATTCATAATGGAGCCTTAAGTTATTACGGACATAGGAAGTAATTACAAATAAAGCAATATGTTGCTAAGTTAGGTCAAACTTGTTTATTCGAAATAAAATTAAATACAGTATCCTGTCTAAGAAAAAAAGACTAGGTACAAGCGACTTCCTTGAAGGTAGTTTTTTATTACGATTATTTTTAAATCTGACAAGGGGGAAAATCCAATAATAAATTTCAAGTTTATTACTAGAATTACAGGTAAATATAACCTAGTTTAGGTCATTAACATTTACTCACCTTCAGACTATTTGAACAAATCAGATGACAGCTATAACTTTTTTAAAATAACAAAAAATCAAACAAAAACTCTCAATCACTGTTTATTTACTTTTTTTTATTTTTAACATCTCTGTAAATCGAAACTATTATCTATTCATATGTAGGTTTATTAAAGATCATGATAGGATCAAATATTAGTTCTTAACGGACATTAAAATAATTAATTTCTTTTATAAAACCGTACCAAACACTTGAAGGTCTAATGAAGTTAGTTCACACTTCAAAGTAGGTCATGTTATGGTCTGTTTGCTTAATCTCCCCCCCCCACTGCCTCGAAGTAGGCTATTTACTGTTATAATATCCATAATGGGAGAAAATAAAACGAAAACTTAATTCATCCATATGGTCTGCCATGTATGACAGCTATAAATCTATAGTTTTAAATGTAGGTTGTTGCCACTGAACAATATTGAAACGTCAATAATAAGGATTGAATTATTTCCCCTTACGTCAGCATTTTAAACAGAGAATATCCATGGTTTTATTTAAATCTGATTTGTAAATTTCCCTTTCCTCTCCAATGATTTAATGTGCCTCATCAAATCGACGTCCTCTTAATAGACTCGGATCTAATCTATAACGAAGTCATGTTATACATGCATATACTCTAGTAGTTTTTATTGCTAAAAAATCAATTGAAATTAATTTTTAATGAAAATACTTTAAATTATCTCTAATACAAAATTCGTATTACGTACAACTGTATCTTGTTTTTTTTTCGCAACTCAAGTATTCTGGTAAACCGGATATTAAAAAGAATATTGTTCAAATATTCAAATTTCGACGCTGTTTTACTTTTGCAGCCCAACTCGTCAATCAATAAAAACAACGTTAATAAATCTCTTTTCAGTTGAATACAAATTCAAAAACAGTTTATTATTGATATACATCCGTCGCCAGTTGATGCCAAAAATTACATAATTTTGAGTATTTGATTCCACAGAACTCTGCAAACTATATCACGATTGGTTGATCCAGGCATTGCCTAGATTTTTCGATTTGGATCTTTGCCACATAGCTTGCATCAACGAATTGAAACGAAGTGCCTATGATTTCCGCGTTTATGGTCGAAACCAAAGTTTACTAGTTGATTATAGTCATAGTTGACTATAATGGTTTCTCCCACTGTCGGATAATCGAAATAAGTATTCAAAGTGTGTGTGTATATATATATATATATATATATATATATATATGCTTCGTACGCTCAAAAAATTCGTTACATTAGTTTTTCCTTTTTTCTCCCTTACAACAATTCGTCGATTTCCACTATGCATCCAGGCCTGGGGATGCGAAAATATCTTTGCACTGATATTCATTAGCTGTATGGACTAAGATTCATATCTTTTATTTTGTGTTAACATTTTAAAAGTCTTAGAATAAGTTTACAAAAAATTAATTTATTACGTAGCAAATATAACATTTGGCTGTTAAGAAAAATTGTCTTTGCCTCTGATCGTTTGCAGGAATAACCACTTTAGAAAAATTAGATCTAATCAAATTAAAGTTAATCTGATTCAAAGTTATTTTTTCATGCCTGTTCTTTGAAAAATCCTTGTTTATGGAATCAAATTCTCTGAAAGCTTATACTCAAAATAAACTATTCTTTAAAAAAGAACGTAGAAATGCTAAAAGCAAAATGGTCTGATCCCATTTAGGAAACATTTGCATTCGTTAACTGTCGATTGAAATTTAAAACAATCTTACTCTTAAAGCAATTCTTCAGGAAAAAAAATCGGTTTCTTGAGTCTGTCTTTCTCTCGGGTTGACGACACCCCCCCTGCACACACACATTTGAAGTTAGTATGAAAAATATCAATATCTTGATTACACATAGCCATCACCAAAGATGCAGGTAAAATGGTCGATCCCTTGTAATCGTTCCAGTAAGTGCCTGACTCCACGTGCTATCCTCTACCTTTACAAGAGCCAGATAAGGCCAAGAATGGATGTACCGTTGTCATATTTGGGCGGGAGTTGTACAGACCGCACTTTCCAGTATCGATAGTCCAAAAGCACCTTCGAGTACTTGTGGGTGACTAATTACAGGGTACTATGGATAAATAGTCGTCTAAATTACGCAAAAATGAAAATAACACTGACATCTCATTTTAACAGATATATTTACCAAAATTACAGAAAGTATCTTGAAATACTAAAGAGTAAATTTATTCAATAAAATCGCAATTGGCTTCAACCACGGCCTCCAGACGACTTCGGAATCTCCGACATCTCTTCTGGACGGTCTCCTTGTTGGTAAATGCTGCCATAATCCTTGCCTTTGGTGTTACAAGTTTTGTTCTCTCGCTCAACTGCGCCCTACACATAATAATCATGTCTGAGGGTTGCAGTCTGGGGAGTTAGGTGGCCAGATGTAAGGGGTGATGTGGTCACAGAAATTGTCTGACAGCCATAACTGGGTATCTCTTGCTTGTGTAGTATGGTACAAAGTCTTATTGCCAAACATAGGGTCTTCCAGCAGCCACTCTCTTGACCGAGGGAAGCACTACCTTGTCAAGGCACTTGATGTAGGCCTCCGTGTTGAGTCTGAGGCCGTGTGGAAAAATAAATGAAGGCATGATGTCCTCATCACAAGTAATCACTCCAAACACCTTCGTAATCACCATTAGACTCTTCTAACTCTTTCCGAATGATTTTACACTGTTCTCAAATTGACACCCAAACACTTTGTAATGTTCGTATTGGAGTTCCCGGTGCGAATGCCAAGTAGCTAAACAATGCCGTTTCCAAATTCCTAGTGAAGTGAATGGCGTCATGGTGCTCTTTTATTCACAGATGATGCCCAACTGTGCAGTCGACAAATTCAAAATCAAACAACGCGCATGCGCGAAATTAACTATAATTTTATATAGTGTGTGTGCAAGGTCTACTTTTCTCTTATCATTGCCTATTTAACAAGACTTCAAGATTCATCTTATTTGCACAGATTAACTCAATGGATGTAGTAAAAGCGGTGACTAATCTAAAATGGACCTAAATTAAAAAAGGACACAAAAAAAAACGACAGAAGTGCTGTATAACAGAACAGGGTGACCAAAAAGTTCGTTCGGTTTATTAAATAATTTTTTTTACTGAATGAACCGAACGAATTTTTTTGGTCAACCCAATATTTTAAAAAGTATTTACAGTAAACAAATATTTTCCTCTTCTGAGCAGCATGTCGTATTCACAACGTTTCGGCCGTTTTATCCTCCGGCTTTCATCAGGTGTGTCTTCGTATTCGCGCCGTCTTAGAATTTCGAATCGAACACTAAATTCAATTCGTGTGAGCAGATTGCTGTCATTCTGCTTTCCGTGATAATTTAAGGTCATATCACGTTGAAACACTGGTTCACGTCCGGTCGGCGAAGCTAAACAATGTCTAACCTGATCAGTACTTAGGTGTGTAGCCAGGTGCTGAAAAGTTGCATGTGCGGATAGTGTAATGTATAGTGGCTCGGAATGAGAAGTCGAAGAATCGAGTTTGTTATATTAAATTAAAGCGCAAACGCCCTTGAGAAATATATGAATACATGTTGCCTTCTCTCCCACCTATTGGAAAAATCATTGTTACAATGACAAGTTCTGTCCCCTCTCTTCGAACATGCTCCCCCCTAGCTCTTTCCGCCTCTCTTCGAACATGCACCCCCTAGCTCTTTCCCCTCTCTTCGAACATGCTCCCCCCTAGCTCTTTCCGCCTCTCTTCGAACATGCTCCCCCTTTAGCTCTTTCCGCCTCTCTTCGAACATGCTCCCCCTTTAGCTCTTTCCGCCTCTCTTCGAACATGCTCCCCCTTTAGCTCTTTCCGCCTCTCTTCGAACATGCTCCCCCCTCTCCGCCTCTTCGAACATGCTCCCCTTTAGCTCTTTCCGCCTCTCTTCGAACATGCTCCCCCTTTAGCTCTTTCCGCCTCTCTTCGAACATGCTCCCCCTTTAGCTCTTTCCGCCTCTCTTCTTCTTTAGCTCTTTCCGCCTCTCTTCATGCTCCCCCTTTAGCTCTTTCCGCCTCTCTTCGAACATGCTCCCCCCTTTAGCTCTTTCCGCCTCTCTTCGAACATGCTCCCCTTTAGCTCTTTCCGCCTCTCTTCGAACATGCTCCCCTTTAGCTCTTTTCCGCCTCTCTTCGAACATGCTCCCCTTTAGCTCTTTCCGCCTCTCTTCGAACATGCTCCCCCTTAGCTCTTTCCGCCTCTCTTCGAACATGCTCCCCTTTAGCTCTTTCTCTTCGAACATATCCCCCTTAGCTCTTTCCGCCTCTCTTGAACATGCTCCCCCTTTAGCTCTTTCCGCCTCTCTTCGAACATGCTCCCCTTTAGCTCTTTCCGCCTCTCTTCGAACATGCTCCCCCTTTAGCTCTTTCCGCCTCTCTTCGAACGCTCCCCCTAGCTCTCCGCGAACATGCTCCCCTTTAGCTCTTTCCGCCTCTCTTCGAACATGCTCCCCCCTATTCGGCTCTCTTCGAACATGCTCCCCCTATTCGGCTCTCTTTGCCATCTTTGCCATCTCTTCGAACATGCCCCCTAGCACTTTCCGCCTCTCTTCGAACATGCCCCCTAGCACTTTCCGCCTCTCTTCGAACATGCCCCCTAGCACTTTCCGCCTCTCTTCGAACATGCCCCCTAGCACTTTCCGCCTCTCTTCGAACATGCTGTCCCCTAGCTGTTTCTGCCTCTCTTCGAACATGCTGTCCCCTAGCTGTTTCTGCCTCTCTTCGAACATGCTGCCCCCTAGCTGTTTCTGCCTCTCTTCGAACATGCTGCCCCCTAGCTGTTTCTGCCTCTTTCTCCTAGCTCTCTCCGCCTCTTTGGAGATGCCCCTACCCAGCTTGCAAGAGAAAGTCTCACCACATGACAATTCCAAAATGTAATCTAGAGGGAGTTGTCATGTGAGTGCGCATTCTACTACAGGCGGAGGGAGTGTTCTGTGAGGAGGAGGAAGTAAAGCATTAACACGCAAGGATGTTTTGTTAGCACTTATACTGAGGGGAGGGTAAATATTAAAATTTTAATTAAAATTTTAATTCTAATTATAAACATTTCTCGTGGCGTTGGATAGAACACGTGTTTAAGAAACCAGGATGTAGAACCGCCAAACCCTGACGAAAACCGCAATAGAAAAGGATGGCCAAGAAACATCTGGAAATGCAACATTTAAAACGAATGAGTTCGATTCAAGATTGACATCGATATCCTATGCTCTAGAATAGAAAAATCGATTAATAAATATAAACTTAGGATATTAAAAGCAAAACAAAAAGCAACTCTTTTAATGGAGGCTTATATCGCACCACTTCATTGGAATTACCAAGAAAATTTTCTTCCATATATAAATTGTTACTTAAACCTTAAATGGTGGAAAAAACAAGAAAATAACAAGAAAAATCAGGCAAACATGCCCGCAGTTAAAATTACAGTTCAAGAGGACGCTTTTTTTCCCCATGACAGCAGCTTTTTTTAATTAACTTCACTTTCAAAGGCGATGATTGGAAATAAAGCTAAACATATGAAAGTGAATTTATACATTTTCTTTTCTTGAAAATTTACAACAAAAATATTAAACACTATTTATTTATTAGATTGTTTATTTACAAGAATATATTTACATTCTAAAAACTAATACAACGCAATATTTATCATTTACTAATTTATAAAGAAATAAATTTTGAAAACAATTTTTATTCATAAATTCATAAACATTTACTAAATTATTCAAGTATGGGAACCAATTAAAAGAAAATCCTTATGTATTATAAAGTTTGAATCAATTGGCAATTAGCTGATGTGTTGCCAAGCATTCCAATAAATAAGATAATAGTGTAAATAAACAATCTAATAAATATATTGTTTATTATTTATTGTTATCAATTCTCAAGAACAGAGAAAATGTATAAATTCACTTTCATATGTATGTTTTATTACAATATTGAAAACAATAAACATTGCCGAGGAGTGAAGGGAGTTAAAATAATAGCGGTGTCAAGGTGTTTGCAAAAAAATCGTATTTTTAAAGGACGGATTTCTGCTTATTTTTCAATTTAATTATTTATAAAATATTTAGATTATAAACCTTAATAAGAATGGGAAATAAAACAAATACTAGGTTTGTAAATATTTTTAAAATTGTATAATATTCCTTGAAACATTCCGTTCCCAACGGAGTTGTGTTGTTCTTTGCACTCAGTTGACACCATTTAAAATTTATTTATTTTTCTTTTTGAGAAATATACATGGAAACTTAACAATGTCTTTGGTTTGTTCATCAAACTTCAAATCCCGTAAAGTACTCATGAATACAAGTAAATAATCATATGATTTAATTAATAAAACTTGTATCACTAAATCTTTGTCTAAAAAAAAATCATATAATCTAAAAATATTTTATGGCTTTAAATAACACGCGATGGGTTGATAAGGTATATTAGCAACTAGCTCAATGCAAACATCACTTTTTTTTCTCGCACTTATCGCCTGTGGAATTCCCTTCCAATTTCTCGCTTTCCTGATAATGACAATCTTCAAAAATTTAAATGCAACATCAATCGTCATCTTTTTAAACCCTGTTTCTTTTTTACCTTTTCTCAATCCTTCCCATTTTTAATCTTCTCATTCTCTTTCACTTTCACTCTCTATACTCGCCACACCAACCCTAGTGAAACGATTAAATAAAAAAACAAAAACGAATCGATCAATCAAGATTTAGATTAGAATTATGAATAAATGATGTCCGTATAAGTGAAAAAAATGCAATTCTCAATGGATGATATCTTCTTATCTCCAATAAATCCTCAAATAATGATGACCACAATTTTAACGGATTTTTGGATAATATGCATATTTGAGAAACACTGCATTCATCACTTTGATATTATATGGGTAACAAATTTATTTATTTCTCTGTTAGATCATGTTACTGAAGTCATGGCAATTATGTGTGAAAAATAATATCGGCCAAATGTCCGCCAAATCTAAAAGAAAAAAATCATTAGACGCTTAAACTTAATTCACATTTAAAATTGGTCCAAGTTATTGGAACACCCTATATATGTTGTATGTTGCAATATCCGAAATCCATAATGAAACCAGGGTAACATCACTGATGACTTCTACCGTTGCATTTTATAAATGTACTTTAAAAATATATATGTGTGAGTGTGTTGGGTTGGCCAAAAATTTCGCAGCAGCATTATGATCATGTTTGTCATATTCACAACGTTTCGGCTGTTTTATCCTCCGGTTTTCATCAGGTATGTCTTCGTACCCAGTACCTCTCTTAGAATTTCGAATGGAACATTTCATTCAATTTACGAGAGTAGATTGCTATCATTCTGTTTTCCGTGCTCACTTAAAACGCCGGTTCTCGTCCGATCGCCGAAGTTAAGCAACGTCAAGCCTAGTCAGTACCTAGATGGGTGAGCACTTGAGAATACCAGATGCTGTAAGCTTGGTTGTACGAGTAGTGTGATAGATGATGGCTCGGGATGAGAAATCGGAGAGCCGAGTTCGAATTCCAGTCGAGTTCGTTATATTCACACGCGCAAATAGCCTTGAGAAAAAAATATGGATCCATCTCTTTTTCTACTCAACTATAGCCACTCTACCGTAGTCTACTGCGGGAATACCTCACTCACTCACTTTAAACCGCTTGTTGATTTCTTCCACTGAACCAGAATATGTGACTTTACACCACTACCAAACCCAGGGATTGAACTCACAAGGGCCCGGTTGGAAATTCCAAGAAGATTACCGAATATGAGGAGAGGCACGTGAAGAAATCCGGAGATTACAGCAACCGAAACGTTGTTACCATAACAATCAAGATGAGGATGCTGATCTCAGCTTGCCTTCTCTTAGACTGGATCCCAACCACGGCTAGAGCGACCCGTCTGTCTTGATATTTAGCCCATAGCAAGGGGAGAAGGATATTTGAACGAAAATGAGTTTAACAAATCACACCACCTGCACATTCAATTAATTCCTAACCACTGACAATTCTCCGCTTCTTTATTTTCAATGCACAAAATACGGATTTCATGCGAAAACTTGATAAAAACAATTTTTTCGTATTGTTATCAATGTGTAACTGCTACGAAGAATATTTAGTTTGTCGGTGCAGAACTTCGCTAATGGGCCTATACGAAACTCTTCCTTCCTCCCTTTTTTTCCTCCTCTTCCTTCCTCCCTTTTTTTCCTCCTCTTCCTTCCTCCCTTTTTTTCCTCCTCTTCCTTCCTCCCTTTTTTTCCTCCTCTTCCTTCCTCCCTTTTTTTCCTCCTCTTCCTTCCTCCCTTCTTCCTTTTTTCTTCCTTCCTCCCTTCTTCCTTCCTCCCTTCTTCCTTTTTTCTTCCTTCCTTTCTTTTTTCTTCCTCCTCCTTCCTTTCTTTTTTCTTCCTCCTCCTTCCTTTCTTTTTTCTTCCTCCTCCTTCCTTTCTTTTTTCTTCCTCCTCCTTCCTTTCTTTTTTCTTCCTCCTCCTTCCTTTCTTTTTCCTTCCTTTCTTTTCTTCCTCCTCCTTCCTTTCTTTTTTCTTCCTCCTCCTTCCTTCCTTTTCTGCTTTTCTCCTTTTTCTTCTATGTGCTGTGTCCCTTCATGACATAAGAGATCATGGCTCTCCACAATTTTCTGTCTTTTGTAGCTCTTAATAAATTTTGTCTTTTTGTTATCTCTCCTAAACCCTGTTCCGCCATCCATTTACTCCAACTCACTAAGTTTGTTATGCATTGTTTTCATCTGTCTATCTTGTCTTCAATCAAATTTCCCAAGCTCTCTTTCCTCATCATGTACCTTATAAATTTCAAGTGTCTCTTCTTGATGTTAAATATAAGTATCCTTCGTGTTTGAGTTTTATCTAAAATTTCGTCTTTGCTTACATGTTCGACCCATGATATTCACAACATCCTTCTGTATAACCATATTTCTGTTACTTCAAGTCTCTTCTTCATCTATGAGAAGATTGTCCAGCATTCACTGTCATTTAGAAGGACTGATATTACGCAACAGTTTAGCACTCTTTTTTTGTTTGTTTGTGTTTTTTTTGTTTGTTTGTTTTTAACGAAATTTTCCTGTTAATACTTTGTTTAGATTTTGGAAGGCATCTTTTGCTGTCCCAGTGTGCCTTCGGATTTCAATGTCGCACTTTTCATCCTCTGTTAAAACACTTCCCAGATGTCTAAATTGTTGTGTTTGGTTGATTTTGGTTTCTCCAATTTGTAATTTGCATGTTGGGCTGTCCCTTTTGCTGACAAGCTTGCATTCTGTCTTCTTGAAATTGATAGTTAGTCCTTTCTTCCCGCTTTCTTTCACTACCTTCTTTCTGTAGTTCTTATCGTGTCCGATGTCATCTGCATACTTTGTGTAGTTACATAAATTAATATTAGAGTGAATAAAATTTAGATGTATGTGTTTCGTATGTCTTCCTCGTTATGTTATGGGCTACGAAAACAAATTGTTGGTATAATCAAATTTTGCTTAATTTCACACAAAGCTGGTTTTGTCCAATGAGGTCGAGAGAAACGTGTTACGTCTCTCTTTTTTAAATAGAGACGGTCTTCTTTGAAAATCAATATTCAAAAGATATTTACTTATCCTTCCACTCGGACGAGAAGCAACACATGACGAGTAATTTAATCGGATAAACCAAGCTGCACTTGCACCAAGTCGTTATCGCGAAACGCACATTTGCATGTGGTTTTCAAGATAATTATGTGGCATGACCTAAAAAAAAATAATTAAAAGAAAAAAAAAACGAATAAAAATTTGGTAAGGTTATTAACATAGTAGGATATGTGGGTGATGTAACTATAGCAGCTGGGAACGAGAAATAGTACAGCCGAGTTCAAATTCCAGTCGAATTCGCTAAATTCATTTTTCGCGCGAATACCCTGAGTAAAAGTATGAAGTCATCCGCTCTAAGGCAGACTGGGTTTTTCGGCCTTGGTTGATAACCAATCTAGGAGAAGGAAAAACACTGGATTACCAAATCCGGATAGATGAAACTCGTTAGCATGGAAAAGAAAACTCCGACAGAAAACCAAACTTACCTCAGAGGAGATTTGATTTTGTTTGTATGTATTTTTAGTGATTATCGCAATAACAATGTTTTCGAGAATATCATTTTCCAGATACAGGTTTTACTATTTAACCCATAGCTGGGAGAGGAGATTACTAGTATGTGGTTAACGATGCGTGAGCGCTTAGAGAGATGGTTATATTATAACTGGCTTAGCTTTTTTTGCTGTTATTGATGCTTGATACTAACATACCTAGTGCTAACCTTAATAGACGCCAGTTAGAAAACACATCAAAAATTGTTAGCAAAAAATGTCTTCACTCCGTATAAGCTTTTTAAAAATAATTTTCATTGAATTAGTTGGTATATATTTAAACGTATAGTACCAGATGGTATAGAACTACTAGAGGAAAATTTGTAGCGGACGAGAAGAAAGTTCTCCTGAAAATAACCAGCTTTTGCCTTAAAAATGTAAAGTTTGTTTGCTAGTTTGTGTTTTGGGCAGATCCCCTCCCCCCACTTTTTTTTCACGTACATATATTAAATCCATATCTTCCATGTAAAAAAAAAAAACGACACTTCTCTAAAGGAAGATTCTTGAATGATTGGCGCAAAACAGTCTTCTTACTCCCATTCTCTCTTTCCCAATTTAAACTTGCCTTGTACTAAGATAAACTTATTGTATCGATATTATAGCCTCGTTGATCTTTTTTGTAACAATTGAACATTCACTCACTTATCAAAGTCACAACTAAAATAACATGAAAATAGTTGAATAAGGTTAATTAGATATTTTGGCTTTCGTGTCTGACAAACATAATCAGTTACCCGACGTTACTTGCTGAATAAAATTAAGATTTTTTTCATTTTCATTTTGGGCTACAGAGCTAAACATGATTGTCGTCTGTTTAACAACAAAAAGGCGGTAAAATCTAACCCTCTCTCGTTAGTGCAAAAACGATGTTCATTTTTATTTAATTTTATTTTCCTTGCTTCAATACGGAATCGAAACAAACAGCCTAAATGTACAGTATATATTTATAAAATATTTTTCTTTTAAAAAAGAATCTTTTTCATTTTTGTTTTATTCATTCATTTCAACATGAATCTCGAAGTGTAATCGAGTTTGTTTTTAAATACGTATCTATCTACTTATGTATCTATCTATCACAGTGTGTTCCTATGAGTGTAGAAATACATTGTTATAGTGAAGATGTCAGAAATACATTTTTGTAAAAGTAATTACTAATGGTCTCAAGAAAATTAAATTTCGACATCAAATGACCCATAGTTGATATACCGTTAAACACAATATGTCCATATCTACCTACCTACTGAGTAGTGGTGGAGTAATGGATAGCGGCTTGGATTGAGGAATCGGAGAGCCGAGTTCGAATTCCAGACAAATTCACTTACGTGCTAATACCCTTGGGAAAGGTGTGAATCCTCTTCTCCCTCCAGCTATGGGTAAATAGCAGGACAGACTGGGTTCTATAGCTTTGGATGGCAACTGGTCTAGGACAATTCTGAATTCAAAACCTGCGGAGGGTCGTTTGGGGACCTTGACCCTTATACGTCCAATTCGACGGGGAGAGTCGTGTGTGTGTGTGTGTGTGTGTGTATATATATATATATATATATATATATATATATATATATATATATAAGTGATAGAAATTATTAGGAGGATTTGAGATAATCATAATTAAGTAATTCATCGCGTCTAGAAGATACCCTCCACAGATTTCAGAAAGCATTGGACGGCCGTTTCGTCCTATATTTAGGACTCATCAGCAGTGCGCATCCACTACCGAGAATTGAAACGCGGACAGTTTTCAAATCCTCCTGGTAATTTCTATCACTTGTATATCCTTGTTTTGGATGGAGCAACTTGGGGATAGAAATCGTGGCTCATTTGGGTGGGGGGTCAGTCCTATGGTTAAAGGAAACTCGGATGAGTTACACCACGGAATTTGTGAAGAGTAGCGCTATATCGAACCAAATTCGTTACCTCATCGTCACCAAGGCTCGTTGCTCCAGTTGGTATGACGCTTGCCTCATATTGTAACTGCCCGGGTTACTGGCCATTTTACTCCGCCTGAGTTGTCAACACTAAAAAAAAAGTTAGGCTTCATATTTATTTTATTTTATCTAAAAAAAAAAAAAAAAATTTAAATATGAGACCGGAAGGAAAAAAAGGAGGAAAAGACGAGAAAAGGGATCTAAATGTGAGGAAAGACAAAGAGAAAAAAGAACAAATTAGAGATGGGTAGGGGAGGAATACTGTTTCGTCTAGACGAACATTTAAATACAGTTGGAAATTTTGACACCAGGAAAATTAACCTTGATCTATATTTCAGATGTTAACACTTGTTCAAATAGGAAAAATTACATAAGGAATTATAATCTTTAAAATAAAGAGAAAGTTTATAAGATTGTGTAAAAATGTCGTAAAATGTAAAACAAGCTAAATAAAAAAAAATTAGTATATAGGAAAAATTAAAATGGAATATTAATTTTAATCAAATAATAGATTAAATGGATAAAAAAGCAAAGCTAGTACAATATAAATGAAATACAATTAAATCATATAAATTAATTATAGGTTAAATTCAAAGAAACCTTTTGAATGGGGAAATGTCAATTACAATTAACCCCACACATAAATATAATTAGACAAACAACAGCTAGCAATTAAAAAACGTAATTAAACTATGATAAATGTGAAAATAAGAAAATTAATAAAATATTAAATATAGAAAAATACCTTTTTTAAGGTAAATTTAAAGATTCCCTTTGAAGAGATATATATTTGTTGCTCACCGTTTAGTACAAATCTGTGTTTCATGTACGATGCCATTTTCAATCCGCGCTTGAAGATTGACTTGTACAAACTAAGAGTAGTACTAAATGATGAGAAAGAAAATGCATACGTATTATTAGCATACATTTTTAGCTGTTATTATACATTGAACAGTGTGTTGTGACCACCAGCAATCATTGTACAATACAAATGGCAGCGAATTGTTAAGGAAAAATCTGTACACCCGCCCCGATACTATTACCACGAAAAATTTGAGCTCGTTAGGAGAGCAATACTACTTTCAGTCGAAATTTTTGAAATCTTCTCTTTTAAAACAATTTTTCAGGAAAATAGGTTTCTCAAGTCCAGTTACTGTTATTGCTCTTTCCATTATTGATGAGGGTTTCCTTCCTAACCTTTTGCTTGAAGTAGTGTGGAATGCCAACATCTCTTTGAGTTACATGTGCTGTTCATCTTGTTACTACTATTAGTAATCCTCAACTGATGCGAAATGTAATACAGTGTAACCCGGATATAAGAGAGATTTTCACTGGTTCCAAATTAGAGCCTGTGTTAATGTATATAAAATAGACCAAACCCGGATATAAGAGACTTCTTCTCCGGTCCCGACAACTCTCTTATATCCAGGTTACACTGTAATACCAATAAAGATGAGGACTTCAAAGTTCAGTATATTGATGGTGGAATGACAGTTTTTTGAGGAAAAGGTGACTTGAGCGCAGAAGTTCACTTCGAGTTCAATATTACCCTTACATTGCCATTACCATTCGGTAATGGTAATTGTAGTAGTTTTATTAACCGTTTTCCTGCATGGAAACATTTGATATTCATTTTCCCGAGCAACCGGTAAAAATTTATAAAATCTTTTTCTTAAAACAATTTTTCAGGAAAATCGGTTTCTCACGTCCAGTAGCTGTTATCGCTCTTTCGAGTATTGATGGCGGTTTCCTTTCTAACCTCTTATTTAAAGTGGTGTGGAATGTCAACATCTTGATTATGTCATTATTTTCTCATCGAGTTACATGTGCTATCCATTTTAGTTGTTGCTGCTGTTGGCAGTCCTCAAGTGATGTTGTTTCCGTTATTTGCTACAGTTCTTTGTTTGTGATTCTGTAACGCCAGATCACAATGTTCGAACAGGGATGATCTTTGCTAAGGCTTCCAAGTTTTACTCGCTCAAAGCATTTTTAACTATTGATCTTAGAAAGCGGTTGTATACAGCTGAGAGGATACACAAATAAACGACTGGGTTTTTTTTATGTATGGCTTGGCACTTGTGCCAAGGTAGAGAGTATATTTTCGCTTTGACTGAAATAATATATTCAACTTAAATTTCTCATGCCGCTCAAGCGGGCGAACGGTGGCGTAGTGGATATGTTTGTTGCCAGCCTACCTCCTGGTCTGACGTTCGAATTGGTGCAGTATTGACTTGTTAAATTTAGGTATGTTTACAGACTCGCAAAGAAACAACTTGTTCAAGTAATGTCAGATTGTTCGGTTGTAAGTCGGAGATTTAATTTCGAAATATCAGTTTTTGTCGCTAAAACCTTTTTATTGGGGGGGGGTCGAAATCTGTTTTGTAACTGTTGCAAATCTGAATATTGTCTCTTCCGTTTGAAACAAACAATCCCTCTACCTGTTCGTCTTCCTCCCACCTTCTCCACGCCATCAATCACACAAGATCGACTGTTTAAACAGTCTGATTTCTCGGAAGCCTACAAATGTATATTCAGATGTTGGACTATTCCCTATACCCAACGGACTAACACTCTCAGCGCCCTTTATATTTGATCGCGTGCACAGGTTATGTAATATATAAAATGCTGGCGTGACCAAGAGACTACCCGCCTAAAAGTGTTGGGGCGGGACTAATAACAAAAACCAAAATCTAAGAAAAACCTTACGCAAGGAAAAAAAATCCCAACTAAGAAAGAAAAAAGACCAAAGAGCAACCACCTACCCGAGTAGTAAATAATTATGCTCACTGCCTATGTTATCCAAACAGAGCTAGAAATGGTTCACAGCCCCCAACACTCAACTAGGCACAACTCTACTAACTACTTAGGTTTCACACATTCGCGATTTTCAGACGACGCAATACATACATACGTACATATATCTTTTAAGACATTTTTGTTTTATACGTTCTTTTTATAGATACAAATATTTAAGTAAATGCTCTGTTTACAATAAACAGTATGATAAATAAACATAAAAAATGTCTTAAAATAATTGTCGGACTTTGTCAATTTCATAATGTGTGACGTCATTTGTTCACATTTGGATACGCATCGAGCAGATATGAATGTACGAAAGAAAATCATGCAAAATTGTAGTTTAAAAACAGTAAAATCGACCTTGCTAACCGAACGCTCCTCAGTGGCCCAATCGGTTGAGGCACGTCAGGCTATATGACGGTTCCGTATAAGATACAGGTTCGATTCCTGTCGGAGGACGCATATTTTCTATGAAAATTTCTCGGACATTCAGATCGGTAAATGTCGTTAATCCTGTTTATTATAAACAGAGCATTTACTTAAATATTTGTATCTATAAAATGAACGTATAAAAATAAAAAATGTCTTAAAATAATTGTCGGACTTTGTCTATTTCATAATGTTATATATATATATATAAGCGACCTGTCTATGCAAAATTCCGATAAGTCAATCGAATTTTTTTTATCAATCCATTTTTTTTTTTTTTTTTTTTTTTTTTTTGCTATTTATTGTATTTTTTTCAGAAAAGATTGCTCGCCTTAAACGTGACTGTCCAGTAATTTACTAGTTGATGGATTTTTGTTTCGGTGTTTTTATTATTACTTATATAACGTGATGATAATGCATCTAAACTTGTTAAATTCAACTGCCGTGGTCTGTTTAATTTTTTACTATATTTTTTTTTCAATTTCCGAATAAGATGTACATTTGGATCTTACATACAGAGTGGCAATAAAGTCAATATACAGTTAATAACAATTACAACAAAGCAATTCATCAACAGTCCAGAAATTTATAAAAATGGTTCTGGTGAATAAAAATAAAATGCTATGGTAAATTAATTACCAATACCGTTCGAACTGCAAGCCACCTGCTTCAATGCTTTGCTTTTTATTATAAGTAACTGTATAGTAACTTTATTGCCACCCTGTATAGTTTGTGTGGGACGAAAGGAAAAAAAAAATGAAAAGGCATACCTCTAAAATGACGGACGGCTTAAAAATAAAAGTAATGATGATGATGATAGCAGTGTTGCTGCTGATGATGATAGTAATAATGATGTTTTTGTATTTAGCGAAAGACATTGACATAGGCTGCAAATGGCCGGATTGTGATCTCTTAAAATGCTTTGTACATTGTTCGAGTTTCTCACATTAATTTTACCTAGTTCTTTCTTTATTAATCTTATTTTTACTGTTTCTTATCACACAATCCAGGATCTACGGGAGGAGGAGGTGATGGTTGTTGTTCACCAGGATGTAAGCATCTATGTCAAATCAACATTTTTTTTAATTTATTCTTTAAAAAGCAGAATGTTACCTAAAGAGTGAGCTCTTTCTCTGAAGTCGGATGTGAGCAATGCGCCCTACTCACCATGAACAGAATTTATTCGGTTTGTGAACGAAATGATGCTGACTCGTATTAAGAGATCAAACTCTGTTATCTGACAACAACATTATGACCTCGGAGGCTATAGCTGATAAAAAAAACACTCAAATACGCTTTAAAAATAGCAAACTTCCAACGGAAACCTAAACACTCTTTGATACTTGCAAAATCTGATACCCAAACGTGCAAATAACGAGTGGTATTTAATTTTCACATTTTTTTTTCTATCGTCTTCTTCCGATATATGTACTGGCTCTGGCAAATAAACTTCTATAACGTTCGTAAATGGTCACTCATCAAGATTATCGTTGCTTAAATTTAGTTATGACATATTTCTAGTTATACTTCGTTTAGCAAAAATGAGATTGAATCGATTAGACTAGTGATTTTCAATCTTTCACAAAGCTTTCTCTCTCCCTAGTGAATACGTCCTGGGTACGACGATAAACTACATCTAGCGGGAAGTCTTCTGATCGAGAGGTTTTGGGGAACATGAACCACTCTGACTCGGAGTTTTATCATCTGTCAGAGAAAAAAAATTACCAAAACACAAGAAAATTTCGGTATTAAATTACCTATATGCCGTAAACCAAACCAAACTTAACCAATAAAACTATTTTTTAGTTTATTTTTATTTTATTATTCATGAATTTGATAAAGAATAAATCTATATTTAAATCGTTACAGCAGCTTTTTATAAGCTGCCTTGATGTTTCAACGAAACAAAGCAGTTTGTTAAAAGTAAAACCTTCCTGAGTATCAAGTTAGCCGTTCATCACCAAATCTTATTACTCGGTGTTCGAGCCCAAATAAATGCAATGATTCTGAATTTGTTGGGAAGATAATTTGCCTGCTGCTAAATTAAGTAAAATGCACTATGATCCTGAAGGGGTAGTTGCATATTTCTCTCCCTCCTATCCTACAAAATATTATAGCTCACAAATTTATTTACTGATAAATGGAAAAAGAAACTCTGCATTATTAATCCGATAGCTGAAATACTTTTTCTTAAGTCAGTGACTTTATATTTGCGAATTGATAAAAATATCGTAAACGAGTGATATTTAAATTAAGTAATGCGTCAATTCGAGTTGTTCATGTCTCTAAGTTCAAACCAGAAATATGTAAAAGGCAAAATCACTTAAAAAGCACCCATTCCATTGCATGAAATAAATATATTTGGGTCGGGAAGAAGACGCTTTTCATTATTAAAGATGTTGTCTTCAGAGTAGAGATTAGACGTATATTAATTTGTGTGCGTGTCATACATAATTTGGGTCTCGCTCTGCGTGCGTCTCTCCCTCTCTCTCTCGCTCTGCGTGCGTCTCTCCCTCTCTCTCTCGCTCTGCGTGCGTCTCCGTCTCTCTCTCTCTCTCTGCGCGCGTCTCCGTCTCTCTCTCTCTCTCTGCGCGCGCCTCCGTCTCTCTCTCTCTCTCTGCGCGCGCCTCCGTCTCTCTCTCTCTCTCTGCGCGCGCCTCCGTCTCTCTCTCTCTCTCTCTGCGCGCCTCCGTCTCTCTCTCTCTCTCTCTGCGCGCGCCTCCGTCTCTCTCTCTCTCTCTCTCTGCGCGCGCCTCCGTCTCTCTCTCTCTCTCTGCGCGCGCCTCCGTCTCTCTCTCTCTCTCTGTGCGTGCTTCTCTGCATCACTCTCTCTCTGTCTCTGCATCACTCTCTCTCTGTCTCTGCATCACTCTCTCTCTGTCTCTGCATCACTCTCTCTCTGTCTCTGCATCACTCTCTCTCTGTCTCTCTGTGTATACGTTTCCAATATTTTACTCTATTTCTCGATTGTTAGCCGGAATCCCCTTCACATTTATGTAATCTGACTTTATTCCTCAAATATCTTTCTAACGGAAAAAAAAAATCTCTTTTTTTTTTTTTTCTTTTTTGCATTTCAGTTACGAACTTGATGAAATGCCAAGCACGGTGTCTCCAATTGAGAATGGCGAAATAAAAAAGAATAGACTTACGAAAGAATGCGCCGACACAACAAAAGAGATTCCTGGGAATGAGGACGAGGAGGATCTCACCTGCGGCTATGGCACCTACCGACCCAAATGGATGCAAGTATTTAACACGCCACAAGCTCTCCTCGTCTTTCTTTCATTTGCAGGTTTTGTTCAAGGTAAGAAACCCTTTTTCTGCATTTAGTATTAGAAAATGAATTTTCTCCCGTTTCATCATTTAAAAGATGATTAGGAAATCCCTATCTGTTAAAATTAAAATGTTACGTATTCAGTTTTAAATGCTTACGGCCACATCAAGTTGAAACCGGTTCCCGTACGATACCCGAAGTTAAGCAACGTAGATTCTGGTCAGTACCTAGATGGGGGACAATATATCAGCTGCTGTAACATTGGATGTGCGGGTGGTGTAATGGATAATGGCTCGGAATTGTTAATCGGAGAGCTGAGTTCCAATTCCATTTGGGTTCGTTATATTCACTTACGCGCAAATACCCCCCTGAGAAAGGTATGAATCCACCAGCTATGGGTTAATTAGTAAAACGTGTCACTAAATCTTTATCTCCACACACCCCCAAAAAAGAAAAAGAAATTCTTACACTAAAAAAAATTCTGGCTTTAAATAACCTGCATAGGGTTGATAAGCCGTAGAAAATCAACCGATGAAATACTGTTTAGCTACATAGGCAATAGCTTTTTTATATTCTCTGGGATATAAATGTGTAGAAATGACCGAAGCCACAAAGTGAAGTATCAGTGTGTATATAATATATATATATATATATAATATATATATATATATATATATATGGTGGAGTAATGCATAGCGGCTTGGATTGAGGAATCGCAGAGCCGAGTTTGAATTCCAGTCGAATCCATTACATTCACTTACGTGCTAATACTGTTGGGAAAGGTATGAATCTTCTTCCTCTCCTTCCAGCTATGGGTAAAATAGCAGGACAGACTGGGTTCTATAGCCTTGGATGGCAACTGGTCTAGGAGAAGGACAACTCTGAATTCAAAACCTGCGGAGGGTCGTTTGGGAACCTTGTGGCATTCGGTGCACCAGGTCTCTGTATTCGTCCCTTCAAAAAGTGTGGATGGTCCTGCACGAAGCCTTCACCACTATAATCAAATCTCATGTGCCGGTGTCGGGCTGTCGGTTTCCTGGAAACTGATCTGCTTGACCCTCATACGTCGAATCTCGACGGGAGAGTCGATTATATATGGTTGGATAGATGTGAGTTTGTGACCCTGGGTTTCACGCTGGGATCGCTAAATCGTGAAACCCAGGGTCACAAACTCACATCTATCCAACCAAATATGTTGGCTCTATCTCTGATATTGAGCGCTTTCTAATAAGTACCGCGCATATAATATATAAATAATTATACATATATATATTTATTTATATTTATATACACTTTCACATATATATTTATACATATATATATTATATATATATATATATATATATATATATATATATATATATATATATATGTGTGTGTGTGTGGTACTTATTGGACAGCGCTTAATATCAATGATAGGGGTAACATATTTAGTTGATTGATGTGGGTTTTTTGACCCTGGACCTTTGTGATCGTCAGACAAACTGATTAATTTTCGAAATTTTGGATTTATTTATGGTTGCGTATATCGGTGTTTATATGGTAGTGGGAGGAAAAACTTGTCGTCGGAACGCCACTCATACTTACGCAAACATACATACACGCACGTTCACGCATTGCAGTTCACATAAACATATATGAACAGTGTGGGACTGAGCGTATATGCGCATCCATGTGTCGTTGCATACATACGTAGGCAATTGGTCGCTGTATTGAATATTGGATTGTGTAGCGAACTTCTTTCCAAATCGCAGTGTCAACCCACAGATCGTTCGTCTATTTTGTTTGCGGAATGTTTTCTCGCACACATATATACGTATACACGCACGTTCACACACACACACACTCACTCACTCACTCACTCACTCACTCACTCACTCACTCACTCACTCACTCACTCACTCACTCACTCACTCTCTCTCTCTCTCTCTCTCTCTCTTTCTCTCTCTCTCTCATATAATGAGAGAGACTTGACCCCCCCACTTTATATCCACATCATTATTTCTTGTTTGTTTATCCAATTCTGATTTGATATGAATCCACATCAACTAACCCCAGTTATGAGTTAATTAGTAAAGCACGTATCATTAAATTCTTATCTCCCCACCCAACAAAAAATTCTTAGTCTACAAACATTTTCTGGCTTTAAATAACCTGCAAAGGAGAGATAAGCCATAGAAAAGGAAAAATAAAAAAAAAAGCTTTCTGAATTTCTCCGATTAATTATTGCAATACCACGCTTTTTTCCGGCCGATATGTCTTTCGGCCTATCTCATATGGATGTTTTTAGGTCAAGATCCCCAGAGTGATCTGTATCAATCTATGGGAATCAATGGCACTAACCTGGGCTTCTATGAATGCCATGATAAATATTACGACTAAATGACTTAAATTTAGTGCAACGGTTGAGCCATTCTTATTTGCATTCTTATTTGCATTCCTAAGTTCATAGATAGTTGCATCTGGTTTTACCAACTTACATGCAATTCTAATTTTGGCTTCGCATTGCCTGTGTGTGTGTGTTTGGCGTCTGCTTCGCATTGCCTGTGTGTGTGTGTGTTTGGCGTCTGCTTCGCATTGCCTGTGTGTGTGTGTGTTTGGCGTCTGCTTCGCATTGCCTGTGTGTGTGTGTGTTTGCTTCGCATTGCCTGTGTCTGCTTCGCATTGCCTGTGTGTGTGTGTGTTTGGCGTCTGCTTTGCATTGCCTGTGTGTGTGTGTTTGGCGTCTGCTTCGCATTGCCTGTGTGTGTGTGTTTGGCGTCTGCTTCGCATTGCCTGTGTGTGTGTGTGTTTGGCGTCTGCTTCGCATTGCCTGTGTGTGTGTGTTTGTCTGTGCATTTTGTGCGTCTGCTTCGCATTGCCTGTGTGTTTGGCGTCTGCTTGCATTGCCTTGTGTTTGGCGTCTGCTTCGCATTGCCTGTGTGTTTGGCGTCTGCTTCGCATTGCCTGTGTGTTTGTTTGCATTGCCTGTGTGTTTTGGCGTCTGCTTCGCATTGCCTGTGTGTTTGGCGTCTGCTTCGCATTGCCTGTGTGTTTGGCGTCTGCTTCGCATTGCCTGTGTGTTTGGCGTCTGCTTCGCATTGCCTGTGTGTTTGGCGTCTGCTTCGCATTGCCTGTGTGTGTGTGTTTGGCGTCTGCTTCGCATTGCCTGTGTGTGTGTGTGTGCCTGTGTGTGTTTGGCGTCTGCCTCCTTTGCCTGCGTGTGTGTGTGTGTGCCTCGCTTTGCCTGTGTGTGTTTGGCGTCTGCTTCGCATTGCCTGCGTGTGTGTGTGTGCCTCGCTTTGCCTGTGTGTGTTTGGCGTCTGCCTCGCTTTGGCAGAAATTGAAAAAGTAATAAAGAAAAGTAAATAATAAATTTGAAATTAATTTTATCGGGAAACAATAAGGAAGGAAATGAGCGAAGGAATTTGTGTCCTTAAGTTAAGAAATGATTAATTCAGATAACTTTTTTTATACTCTCCTGTGGGTTGATGCGAAATCATGGATTCTATGAAGGGGCTATAAAAAAAAATCTTTTTTTTTTTTTTTTTTTTTTTTTTTTTTTTTTTTGAGATGGAAAAATAAGTACGAAGCTTTATGCAGATACTAAAAGGTTGAATAATTATATCGGCCGAAAATGTTTTTGCTAAATTTTTTATATTAGTACCATATATAATCGAGTAAAAGTACGAGTTTTTTTTTTTCTTACGCAAAAAAGGTGGGGCTGTAATACTATATACGGGTAATTTTTTTTTTTTTTTTTTTTTTTTTTTTCGAAGAGGTTAGATCTTCGTATTAAATATTTTACAGTAACGGTTTTTCTCGCCATTTTGGGGAAGCTTTGTATCAAACAAAAAAAAAGAAAAAAAAAGAATTATACTATAAAACATGTCCAGGGTGATGCCCAGTAGTACAATATTTGACTGCAATAGGCTTACTCGAATTGCTCAGAAGCTGAGGTCACAATATACACGAGTTATAGGAAAAAAATCTGTTTTTTCACAAAAATTTCAGGGACAGCGTTATACATGAGTATGGTATGTGAAAAAATGAAAATATTCATTTTTTTTTTTTTTTTTTTTTTGTTTGTTAGTCGAAAGTCTTCGCTAATAGAATCCTGCAAAAGACAAGCCTTGATTGGTGATACTATTTACTGCCTGACTACGCCCGATAGTTCTTACGGCTTCGGGAGAGGGGAATGAACAAAATGTCAGTAATTAAAAATAACTCAAAATGTTTTAAAAGCGGGTGTCGTGTCAGGAGGTGCTTGGGTACACATGAATTAGAAAATTTGTCAGTCCTTAGGAAAATTGTTTTCAAAAAATATTCAGGAAAACCCTGAAAACTATGGACGGAAAAGGCAGGCCATGTATTCGTTTCTTTATTGACAGTAAGATATAAACTAAACACTATAAAATAGAAATATTTCGTCAAGTAACTTCAATTTACTCGTTCTCCTTTCAATCTATGAAAACCATTTTTTTTTTCACTCTGTCAAAGCCACTCGTGGTAGATGGTTACAGCGTGAGCGGCAGAGTTTTGGGAGGATATGAAAAAAAGATATTGGTTAACTCTAGACTTGAACAGATATATAATTTTTAGGGTAAAATGAAAGAATATGAGAAGAACTTAAAAGTAAAGGGTCACAAAACTAAACTAGAATTTAAACCTCAAATTAAACCACATATGAAGAACAATTAGATGAAAAGAAAAATATCATTTAGTTTACCCCCTCCCCTTAGAGATAAAATATAAAATAGGGAAGTTATTTTTCAAATTACTTATATATATGTGTGTGTGTGAGAGAGAGTGAATAGGCATCAGTTTATGAGAGATAACGCGATAAAGGTAGAACCCTGTTTGATCAAAATTCAGTCCTTGGAAAAGGTATGAATCCGCCTCTTCTCCCCCAGTTATGAGTTAATTAGTAGAATTTGTATCATTAAAACCATTATTATCCCCACAAAAATAAAAGTCCGTACAAAATATTTAGATTTCGGCACTAAATAACCGATAGCAATTGATATGCCGCTAAACAAAATCGATCAAACTAAAATGATTTTAAAAAATTTAAATGCAATGTCAATTGTTATCTACTGTCTTCCTGATTACTCTTCTATTATTCTCGATTTTCAATGTTTCTTTGTTCTCTTATTTATTTACTCAGTAACCCCTTGTCTTAGTGGCTTTATTACTTTGTCTGGGTTAAATGATTAAAGAAAAATCTCTCACTGAACTAGTATAGAAGACCCTCATGGTAAACTTGAACCTGCTTTGCATTTCTCTAAAGTTTATCCCTCGTCTCGTAGCACTCGACGAGGCATATGATACGGCGATCGCCGTCTGTTTCCAAAAGGACTATTTCAAAGTAGGGGACTATATAGAATACTAGCAGTATAACCCGTCTTCGACCGGGTCTTTTATTACTGGCAATTTTTGCCGTTCAATTGGAGCAGTTTAAGTTTAAAGTCAACCCATCCGAAAATCAATGTTAGTAACAACATTTGGGTGCAACTTAGGCACATCCACAAATGGGAGGTTAACAATATGAATGGGGAGTGGCCCTGTAAAGTGAACATAATAATAATAATAATTTATGTATTTTTTTTATTAAAGTTTTTATGAAAGATATATATCCAAGAACTGATAGTAAATAATAAAACGTTACTGAGAGTTATAATGGACTGGAAGTAGTGGAGAGCCATTGTCACCAACAATTTCGACTCAAAACCAGCACTGAAGAATTATCTACCAAACAAAAAAAAATCATCGAAATCGGATGAAAACTGGAAATGCATAAACAACATCCGATCACACACACACACACACACACACACACACACATTTTGAGAATTATAGATATAGATATTATTTCTTGTTTGTGATGTAATGAATAACGGCTCGAAATGAGAAATTGGAGAAGCGAGTTCGAATTTCAGTCGAGCTCCTTACATTTACTTACGCACAAATACCTTTGGAGAAAGGTATGAATCTCCCACTCTAACTATGGGTTGAACAGCAAGACAAACTGGATCTTCATAGTTTTGACTGGCAACCAGACTACCACAGAAAGAAACGGCAACTTACTACAGGAAAATCTCCCTTGTCAGTCATGAATCGCCCAAGGTTTGGCACTTATTGAGTGTATTAATACTTTTTTCTATGTTTAGACCTGAAATCTTATGGAAGCAGCTGGTCAATTGATTAGTGTGAACTGTGAATTATAAATATGATACTTCCTCGCGTTAAAATATACAATTAAAATCTTTTTTCTATTTCTCTCTCCAGGATTCATCGTGAATGGCGTGATAAACGTGAACATGAGTACCTTAGAGCGAAGATTTGGTTTCACCAGTAGCAAATCAGGGTGGATCGCTAGTGTTTATGATTTGGCCGCAGCCCCTATGGCTCTTTTTGTAACTTTCATGGGGTCTGTTGGTTACAAACAACGTTGGCTAGGCTCCGGACTGATCTCCCTGGGCCTGGGGTCATTCATAATGGCACTGCCACATTTTACCACTGATAATTACTACTGGCAAAAAACACAAGCCGCTGTTTGTTCAAGTAAGTATGTTCTTATTTTAGTTTTCCAAAGGTAAAGGAACGATCCCGTTTCTAATTGGATTTTGTCATTTTGTTAATTATAGTAAAACCTACCTGTTTTGCCCAGGTTCCTTTTTTAAAAGAATTAATTTTTAAAGTTTAGTAAAAAAAAAAAAAAAAAATTCTAATCCTTAACAATTTTACTTGCAATCTTACGAAGACACAAAATGTATTTATATATTTTGTCTGAGATATGTAGTGCTTAATCTTGCCAAGATTGATTGTATATAAAATACATTTGTGGCACAAGGCCGAAAATTGGGGGGTGGGATGAGGCTGGTCACCATTTACTATCTTATACCTTGCTAATCAGACTCATGACCCTTTCACTCATTCCAATTTGCACATCCACCAAAAGAACTTATCCATCATCATTCAATCCTCCATATACCACAATACCGCAATACTCTCAGGGGAATTACAAAAACACTGCATGACATAAAAATTAATGATTATAAAATTCTATGTATAAAAATCTGTCGGTGATATGTAATGAGAAGGGAAATGAAGCCCAAAACAAACTAAAATATCAAAACAAATACACAAAATAAAAGGATAAATGATGCTAGTTGAAGCCGTCAAACCCTCAACAGAATTTGCTGTATCAAAATCAAGAAGCTCTTTTACTAAGGGTCAGGGAAGGATAACATAAATATGCCCATGAGGAAAGAAAAAAGCTGACCCAGTTGAGATGAAAATAAAAATTGGCGGGGGGGTACAAACTGGGGAGGTTGGGAAACTCGACTCTGATCATAACCAAAGAAGCAGGAACGACACCTTACTCACATTAACAAGGTACACGAAAAGGGGCCCAGCCTAACCAGGGGAGGGCTCCACAGGAAACCATTCCGATGTCACTTAGAGAGACCTAAAAAAAGAAAATCAAGGCTACCCCGTTCACGTGAACCAGGCTCGCCGCAGTCACCCGTCTTTCTCTAAAATCTGTCGGGACCAATCGCTTTCTATCAGTTCTAATTTTCATCTTGAGCTGATGCTTGAAGAATCTGATTTGATCCTGATGAGAATAATGATCACCTCGCAAGATTTCCTCCAATCGCGTAGTTCAAATCACCATTCGGACCGTGGCCAGCAGCGATAGAAACACCCTCTGTTTCACCCCAGAATACGGGGGTGACACATTGTAACACGCGTATGCACAATCAATGAGTACGAGCATTTATTTATCCTCAAAGACACATGGCTTAGTGAGAAAGACTGGTGAATGAGTAAGAGAATTCCTTTTAGTTTTCTTTTAAATACTAAACACATTTGTAATTGTCACAACCGCTTAATTCTATGCGCCCCCGACTATTGATTTTTTTTTCTTTTTCAGACAAAAGCATGACTTGCAACTCCGAATCCGAACAAAGCAATTTGAAGGAATATTTGTATGTGTTTCTGTTAGGACAAGTATTCCACAGTGTAGGCGGCAGCATCTTGTACACTCTAGGGGTCACCTGTCTAGACGATGTGGTCAAACCGCGAACAACCCCGTTGTATCTGGGTAAGTGCCTGTCTAAAAAATAAGGTGGATAAAGGTCTGATTTGGGGGCCTGCTTCTAAATGGTCGATGTCACGAGTAAGAATTTGCACACTAAAGTTATTTCGAATTATTCTCACGGGGCTGGCTGGGCAAATCATTTTCATCGGGCGGAGTGTAAAGACCTCAGTTCCGATTGCTTCATGAATCAAGATTTTAGTGACTACCTGTGTTGTTCGTAAAAGGAGACAAGATCGGTGGCGAATCTGTTTTGGGGGCCCTAAAGCTTCGCAACCATTGACAATAGATTCGAGGATCCAACTGCCAAAATTTATGCTATGAATAGATTCTGGCAAGCTGAATGAATCCATTCAACTGCGGGTTCAGAAGCTGCAAGTCTCCAAGAAATTTTGACCAATTACAGGGAAATTTGAGAGCATATGAAATAAGTATTAGAGGATATTCTAAGAAGGCCAACATTAACTACTTCAACTCATTGACTGTATGACGATAAATTACATCCGTGTCCCGGGTAAGACGATAAACTACGTTCAACAGCAAGGCCTCTGATCATGAGGTTTTGAGGAGCGTGGAACCACCTCTTAATTGCTGGTATTCCCAGGTCCACCCTGACCCAGGGTAGTAGTACCTGTTAGGGTCCCAACTATGGGCAAATAGTTAACCCCCAAATTTTGGTCAAAATACTATGAATGTGTAAAATAAATTTTAATACCGAAAATACACTGTAAAAAAAAATTATTACCCAAAATAATTTTTTGAAGGAAAAAATTATTACCAGCAATACTTTAACAAAAAATATTATCAACTAATACATTTTTTTTTAAAAATATTACCAGAAATAGATTTTTTTTTTTTTTTTTTTTTCTTTGAAAAAAATATTACCGGCAATAAAAATTGTCGGCATTAAATAACCCATTGGGGTCGATATGCCGTAAACCAAACCAAATCAACCCATTGGCTTATGAGTCTATCACTAAAATGGCCTTGTTTTAATAACAGACACTTACTAAAGACAAAAATATCGATTTTTGTAGAAAAAATTCGCTCATTAAAAAAAGTTGCTTAGGGACCGGGAAGCTTAAACTTCATTAGTTTCAAAATAGATCCACCACCGACTCTAAATGGCATAATTCCATAATAGGGAATCTCCTACGGAGGAGGATCGAACTCGCCACTCCACTGACTAGAACTGTAGATATTATACTCATAATTGTTCCGAGATACCTGCTGTCTATAAACGGTTAGCTTAATAATTTGATACCCCCCTCAAAAAAAAAAAAGAAAAGTTTATTCCCGAAGGGAGATAAGCAAAATATAAAATGAAACTGATAAGAGTCACATATCTCTACAGTTAAATAAATGCTGTTTGGTTCGCATATACCGATCACGGCACGTTTATAATATCACGTGACTTTTGTTTTCACCTTTTCATCACCATCTTTCCTCGAGCGGCGTTGTGGAGTTTTGACCTCTCCAGAAAACCTGGCCAGCAAATACGCATTTTCTTCCCACCGAACGCTAACAGTTGACGAGGAAAAAACGAAGCTAGCCATAGTGTAATATTTTTATTACTTAAACGTTATTTTTAGTGGATATTCATATTTCAGTAGACATCTTCGTCTATTTATTAACAATTATTTATTTTCATCTACCGGCCTAAGATCTCTCGAATATCCATTCAAGAAATCTTAATAGAAAAAAAACCTTCAGTAGATCTGACGTGCTTTAACGTCTCGGCTACAGAATATGTCAATGACTAAGCAAAATTGAATAGTGCCTTTTAAACACAGATTTTTTTCTCCGAGTCTTGAAATATCTGCTCAGTTTCATATCCTAAGATAAAGCAACTTATAAAGAGGATGGACTTTATATATATATATATATATATATATATATAAAGAATCATACATAGATTCAATCAGCAATATTAATGCGATTAATGGTGAAATCACTTCGCTAGTAGAACATAATTTATGCATTAAAATACTGTTAATCCATTGAATGATGTGATCCTCATTTATAAAACTGTTGTCAGATGTTTCTAGTGTATATTATTTTAAGTTAAGCAAGTACTTTCGAAGATCCATGTCTCCATCATCAGGCTGTAATTTTTTTTCCTTTAAAGTTAAAGCTGGAAGACGAAATAATTGCTTGTAGACCGAAAGATATTTTTATAAGAATGTGCTATTTATTGACGGTTGTACAATCTCGGACCATGCAAGTTGCAACGCTAAAGTTCAAAATTTCAAGTGAGAATTTTTATATGAATTTTGTAATATGGTAAATCCACGAATTCTTTTTTTACAAGTGTTTTTCAGTTAACATGACATGAACTAAGTAGTTTTTTACCAAGTCTAAGTAGTTTTACTAAGTCTTAGTAGTTTGTTTTTTTTTTCTCAGGGATTTCATACTGCGGGATCAATTGTTTTTTATAAACATAATATTAGGCAGCATATATTTTATATACAAAGAAATAATCATACATAATCAATCAGCAATATTAATGCGATTAATGGCGAAATCACTTCGCTAGTAGAACATAATGTATGCATTAAAATATCTATATATATATATATATATATATATATATATATATATATATATATATATATACATTAATATCCGATAGATTTTTATTATAAAAAATCCGTCCCTTTTCTTTTACATAGTGGAATATCTATGGAACCAAGCAAAGGAGTTGTTTCGTCTTTCATAAACTAGTGAAGGGTTATTCGATAAAATAATCTGAACGTCCCAAAAGCAATACTGTCTCTGCTTTTGTTCTGTCATTATGTGCCGTGTCCCCTCAGGACATAAGCGATTATGGCTCTCCCCAACTCTCAGTCCCTTGTAGCTCTTAATAAATTTTGTCTTTTTGTTATTTTTCCTAAACCCTCTTCTGCTATCCATTTACACAAGCTCACTAGGTAGGTTAGGCAATATTTTCTTTTGTTTCTTTTGCCTTCAGTTTGTCCTGTGAGTATCATATTTTCCACTCCCCCTTCCTCATTATGTGCTCCAGAAACCTCATCTGTCTTTACCTGATGTTAAGTATAAGTTTCCTTTTTGTTTGGGTGACTTATTAAAGCTGTTGTATATTTGCGCCAGGAGTCGGTGTTTGAGTCTTTATAAAGGCCAGGATTTCGATAATCTTTCTTTTTATAGTAAGTAGACGCTTCCCCTCTCAATTAATGGCGGGCCACAATTTCCTCCTCCTATTTTAACTATCTAAATTAAATTTAGCGAATATATAATTTCTTGAGTGGGTGTGCAGGTGGTGTAATGGATAGCAGCTCGACATGAGAAGTCAGAGCCGAGTTCGAATTTTAGTTGGGTTCGTTACACTCAGTTACGAATAAAATACCTTTGGAGAAAGGTCTGAATCTATCCCCCAAGCTATGGATTAACTAGTAAACTTTGAATCTGGAAAAATTGTTATTCCCAAAAGATAATTGCTTCAATATTCACTAACAAAAAAACTTATTCTTACAGTCCAAATTATATTTTGGCTTTAAATAACCAATAAAGGGTTGATAAGCCGTAAAAATCTTTTTTAAAATATTTTCTTGAACGTCTGTCGAAGAGCTATAGTTAAGTTTACTCAATTCTCTACTTACTCGGGTGTACCTACTATATCTTACTCTTTCAGGATATTGCTCATGTAATGTAGCCTTGTGCCAGATTATGTAAATACCAATAATGTTGTGCTCTCTCCTTTCAGGTATTATGATGTTCTTCGCCACATTGGGCCCGGCGCTTGGTTACATCATGGGCGGACAGTTCCTTAATATTTATGTAGATTTCAATACAATTGCTAATCCCCCGTAAGTATGGAAAATGATAAATTACCATTATTTAATATTATTTTAAATACACAAACAAGTCCCAAGAGCCACGCAAGGTAGAGGGCTGCTGAATGAGTTCACTGCAAGAGCGTAAAGGGAAGAAGTAAAAAGTGTATATTATGAGAATATTAAGATCGTATTGATCAGGCAAGCGTTCTCTCAGCCTTCCACAAAGTACCATTTCTGGGGAAGAATGAGCCAGTCTACAAAACATGCTTTATTCTTACAAAATGAGAGATATATCAAATTTAAGGAACATTCTCTTCCACCAATTAGTTCTTTAAATTTATATATATGATATATATATATATATATATATATATATATATATATATATATATATATAATGAAAAATGTTTTCCACGCTTCTATTTATTACCGAATAATTTCCGAAAAGTTCAATAAAATCTTAGATTTCTTTTTAATTTTGTATTGCTCAGCCCAGAGTAGGGGTTGTCTAGACTGTGTGGGAATATACGTATTATTCCAGTGTCTTATTTCAAATTCATGTCTGTACATACTTATATATTTAAATTTTCTCTCCCGAATCTATCTTATATATTCACGTCTACCATTCGTCCTTGCTTAGAATATTGTCTCCACATCTGGTCTGATGCTTCTGCTATATATTTAGAGATCCTTGATACAATCCAAAGAATGATCGACAATGTTATTGGTCCTGACATGGCATCTCGGCTTCAGTCACACTCCCATCGCTGTAATTTAGCTTCTCTGTTTTTTTTTTTTTTTTTTAATAAATAGTTTCATGGCAATTTTTCTAATGAACTCTCCTGTATGGCACTTAGACTTTATGAATTTCAACGCAGTACTAGATTGGCGGCAAGATCTCATCATTTTACAGTTAAAATGGCCGCTAGATGTACCAGTCAGTTTTCTAAGATAAACGTTTCTTCTATTGCAATTCCCGCTTGTGGAACACTTCCGGTTTCTTGCTTTCCAGTAAAGTTTGATCTTCAAAAGTTTAAATGCAATGTCAATCGTTGTCTACTGTCTTCTTAATCGCTATTCATTTATTGTTCTTGTTCGTTAATAATGTTTTTCTTTTTCTTGTATTCTTTCACACTCAGTACCGCCATACGTCTTAGTGGCTTTGTTGCCATGCTTAGGGTGACATTATTATAAAGAAAATGGCACAAGCACATGTCCGTCACTCACGCAGAACACGAGCATACGCATATACATTACATAGGCACATATAAAGGCACACACAGTGCGTGGCGGACAAAGAATTGGTTCTTCTTTTTATAATACAGATTATATCGAAAATACAAATCCGTTTATTTCGGCGATTTACATTCGAACTATTGTCCTTATCTTTGTTGTTGGTGATAACAACAACAAAGATGAGGACAATAAAGTGAATGTAAACAGTAATAACTCTTTATCCTGGAAATTCGGACACAAATCTGTTTAATTATTTCACTCCCAAACCCCAAGTGACGTGGTAATGCCACTAATACACAGAGGTGGGGGGGTTACAGGGAGTGAAAGAGAAGACTGAGAATAGAAAGGAATAAAGAAAGGACAAAAGATGAACGTGGTTCAAGAAGACAAAAGATGGCGATTATGTTGCATATAAACTTTTGTAGATTGTACAGGGTGGTCCGAAAATCTTGTCACCCCTTACTAAAAAGTAATGCAAATAAGTAATACAGTAATGCAAAGTATATATACTTGATTCAGTTTATTCACTTTCATTGGCGCTGTCACACTGTAGGAGCTCGTGTCTGCCATCGGAAATAGAAAATGATATTATATAAGGGTGACAAGACTTTCAGACCACACTGTATCAATGAAGCAAGTAAACGGAAGTTCCACAGGTGAGAATTATGAGAAAATAAATTGTTGGAGTAGAAGTGTCGGTTGCATTTAGCTATTTCAATAGCAAAATGGTGGGATCTAGATAGTAATCTAGTAGCACGCTCAAATTCATGCAGTCGGAGGCCCGTGGGGCGGAGGGAAAGCTCGTTAGATAAGTTGCCATGGGGAGAAAGTGACTGAAGACTAAATGCCAGTTCAGGATCGATTTTATTGCAGATCCTTCTTTGGATTTTGTCAAGAATCTCGATGTACAGCATGAGCACCACATAAAATATGGCAACAGTATTCGATGCACGGACGAATGGTAGATTTTCTGGCACATCACAGTGACCAAACTTTTCTTGCAGTAGATGTAGCTATAGATTCGATGTAGTGGAAACGTAAGGCGCAGTTGTGCTGCTTTTCTGCGTTCTAGTCTAAACAAAATGAATAAAAAAATTACTGATATCAAAATTATTCTCCGATTGAAAATCGAAGTCCATTTGTATTTATATTTCGTTTTTTTTCTTCATTTATCTACGTATTTTTAATCCCTTTTCACTGATATTTGCTGTCTTTTTGCCAGTCGGCCAGTAATTTATAATAAGACCAGACTAGGCTGTGCAAGTAGCGTAGCAGCTATCAACTTTCCGGGCCGATAGCTGCTACGCTACTCGTTATAGTCTTGTTATAAATTACTGACTGATTGGCAAAAAAATATTGCTCGGATCTATCGGGGTTGACAACTGACATCTTGTAAAGCCCGGACCTGCCCTTGATGGCTAAAAGATTATCCATTTGATGTACCTAGCCACTTTGAAGTCACTGATTCGTACTCGGTGGCGTCAGAGACGCCACGTGCATCGAAAGGTTAACGCAGTGTTTCTCGACCTTTTTTGTCCAATGCACCCTTTTCGCCATATACCAGAATGTCATTCCCCACTCTTTCCAAGATTGTCCGACTCAAAAGGTGCATCCCAAATATGCTTCTATTATTGATTATTTTCTTTTCCTATACTAATACATATACATTATATATGGATTATTTTTATAGGGGAGTTTTACAAATTTAATACCAGCAGAAAATGTTGATGGATTTTTAATCCTACTTATTATAAAACGCAGATTGTGTGTGTGTGTCTGTACGTTTATATACTGGTTCGGATTTCCCACATTTTTTACCGATTTCAACAAAACTTCACAGGACAACGTAAAATTACCTTGCGGTGGTTCTGACAATGCCAAAAATTGAAAACACAATTGTTTTTGCATGAAATCAATTTGAAAACACGATAAAACACGATTCTGTCGCCAGAATGAAAGGGGGACAACTCACCTTGAGGTATACTTATTATAAACCCAGGTTGTTTGTGTGTGTTCGTTTATATATGGGATCGGATTTCCTACATTTTTCAACCGATTTCAACAAAACTTCATTTTTTTTTTTGGCAGGTAATGTTTCTTATTGTCTTGCACACTTTTTTTCTTTATTTTTACATTCAGAATGCTTTAAAAATTCCATTTACAAGACAATTGTTTATAATAAAATTCTATTCAATCGGTAGACTCATAACGATTGAAAACAATGTTTTTGTTTGAGTTTGGGTTTGACCAATTCGTAAAAAAAAAGAAAACTAATTAAGACATGCGTGTACGTCAACCTTAAACAATAATCTTTGTCAATTTTATTTTTCAGTCTTTATGATGGTCGATACTTGATCTATCTCTTACTGTTACATCCCCGGGCAACGCCGGGCTCTACTGCTAGTCTTTAATACATGTACAGCGTAAACTGGGCTCTCTAACATTGGAAGGCAGACAGTCTATGAAATTACGCTGAATTCAAAAGCAGAGAACAGGAAACTATTATTTTCCCAAGAAGCCATGGAAATTCACATATAATATGGAGAACCAACATTATGTAGGCTTTGAAGGGACATGGCGTTAAAAAAAAAAAAAACAAGATCAATATTATTGCCATCTCCTTATATACACACACATTGTTATCAGTGCAGCAAGAGACTCTATCGCTCGAATCTGTAAATTGTTTTAAGCTTAGCAAAAATATAATCAAGGTAAATTTGAAGTTCCTTAATGGTTCCAAGATGTCACATATGTGACATTATGGACACCCACGTAGAGGAAGAAGGTATGATTTTATCCCAATCTCAAATGTTTCCGTTTTATGGCTAGCGGATTTTTTAAAAGTCTGATCTTCTAAGCGGCATCCACTTTGACCGAAGAGAAGCGAAGTAAATGAGTAGATAAGGCCTTTTGAGATCAAGTGACAACAACACCAGAAATTGGGTATATCCGGATGCTGGTCTATATTAAGAGTCATGCTTGGGATCGGGTAGTTCGCCTTTGGTTGGAATCGGATTTGTCCGTCGCGTGATTCCGTCACCACCCGTTGATATTGCCAGCCATATGTCTGAATGTGTATGTGGGTGAGGGTAGGAGGAGCTAATCTATGCAATCGACATGGATGTTGTTCAAAGTGTCAACTACCTACCCACCAATGCTCTGAATAAAACGTCTAAATATAATATTGAAAACAAGTTTCACGTTCTCATTTCTTGACGTGGCGTTTGTTTTTCACCATTAGCTTATGAGCATGCAGTGGGCCCTTTCCCAGCTTTAGATGCACAGCGACGAGAACTGAACGCAATGTTTGGAAAATCATTGACCGGTCGGTGGAAAGCTTGTGTTAGAGTAGCGTTGTAAGTTTACAATATATACTAGAGAAAGGCTAGAAAGAACCTTTGTTGAAACATTTTTTATTGACGTAATGGTTGTGGTACGATTTCAAATAATTTAATGAATAATGCCGTTTTCTACTATAGATTTTAAAACCTAGATCTATCCATTTTTTTTTATGCATTTACATTTTCCCCCTTCAGCATCTAATTCCTTTTCTTATGAAATAAGAAATATCAATAAGTAAAGAGATAGATGCCAAGTAACAGGAGCTAAATGCACTGAAAAAAGACCTAGATCTACCTTCACAAAGGTAATCTAGTCTTGTTTGTTTAACGTCATATCAATTCCTTCTGGGTCATTTAATGCCGCAATTGAAACATATTGTTATTTTTTTTACTGTGAAGGCGTACTGCTAGCAACTTCGCTATAAAAATGTATTTCTCCACCTACATAGTGTTTTGAAACCAGTTTGGTGTTTCACAATTGGCCCACAGCTGGGGCCCTAACAGGTGCTACCACCTCGAGTCAGAGTGGACCGGGGAACACCAGCAATTACGAAGTGGTTCTACGCTCCTCAAAACATCCTGATTAGAGGCCTTGCTACCGGATGTAGTTTATCGTCATACCCAGGACGAAATCTAGACTTGTATTAAATCTAGATTAGATGGTTGTCTATTATCTTATCTAAGATTCACAATGAATTTAATTTGTTTTTGTTTTTTTTATTTTTAGAGCTTCCCTGGACAGCAAAGATCCTCAGTGGGTCGGAGCTTGGTGGATCTGCTTTCTTATTTCAGGGACCCTGGCTATAATCATTGGGCCCATTCTCCTTGGCTATGCGAAAGAATTACCTGGTGAGTATGTCGCAAGAATTCCCACTAATGTGTGTTGTGGCGATTACCCTCACTTGATTTGCCAAGATGCCGCTAGGCTGTGCTGTTTTAGAACTATAAAAGCTGGGGAATAATCTTCCTCTTTTTCTTCTAGAATGCGGTAGGTAAAAGACTTGTCAAGTCTTCCCTTCTAGGGGACTTAGTCACGTAGTTCACCTTTCCCCCCACACATCCTATCGCTAACCTTATAAATATTTTCTTTTCCTTTTCAGTTGTGTACATATGAGTATATTTTTCTCTTTTGTTAATCATTCATTAGTCTATATATAAAATTCTGTGACATTCGTTAGTCTGTCCGTCACACCCTTTAAATAGCTATACATTGACCGATCGAAACCAAATTTTGGGGACAAGTACACACCGGTAAGGGGGTACAAAGTACATTTGATTTTACTAGGGTGCGTAGCTTAGTACAATAAATTTTCATTAATTTTGGGGGAAAAAATTAAGTTTTATTATTCGACATACAGAATACTCCCAATATTTTAAAAACACTTTAATGATTAAAATAACAAATACTTACTAATTAATAATGCAATATTGTTTTTTTGCATCTTTAAGTTGTTATATGTACAAGAATCCAGTTTCCAATTCGCCTTGCGTTTGCGAGAACTATAAACTAACAAATCACAATTCCAGGCACTTTAAAAAGTTGGAATTTAATGACCAGTATGTTGTATGTTCAAGAATAAGAAAATCTTCGCTGTTAAGAAGGAAAAAAAATTTCTTAAAAATTGTTTACCATGAATTAAATTTAAAAAATTATTAAACCGCGAAGTAGTTTTTTTTTTTTTTTTTTGTCAAAGTATTTTTCCAAACAAATCAGCTTATTCAAATTTCATCGTTTGGTTTGCGAAATTGAACGAAATTTTGTCTGTAAAAATCCTACTTATATAAAAACACATGAAAATATCTTCATGTCGAAATTTAATCCTTTTCTCCTTTTTACCTTTATTAATGATGATAACCCGTCAATTACAATTTTGGTTGCTGACTTTTAATCTAGAAGTAGACCACAGGACGTACTCTGTTAGGAATTGGTAATATATGCCAAATTGATTTTTAAAAGTTTTCTGTGTTTGTTACCTTTTTTGTTGAGTTCAACTTTGAGTTCAGTTAAGCTAAGACGAGTTATTCACAGAAAGAGGAATGGAAAAGAAGCAAAAGTTATGTAAGGCAACAAAAAAAGTTGTGGGGAGCCATGATCGCACATGATCCTTGGTAGTTGAGCACTAGCAATGCAATATTGCAACCGATATTTTGAGCTGAACGCTATTTTAAGATATTGTAAACCAGTTTTCTGGTAAAGGGGATGCAACTCTTCCACTACTCAAAAATATTTTTTACGCGGCATACCAACTGTAAGAAATGAATTGAATAGGAAAACTTTCGGTCGTTAATGAACGAAACTTTTTTTCTTTTCTCTTTTCACCTTTTTCTTCTTTTTCTTACATGCTTTCTTTTGCCTTTTTTTATCTAATATTTTCTTCTCTTTCTTTTTTCTTCTCTTCTCTCTTTTTTTCTTTTCCTCTCTCGTTTTCCTTTCTCTTTTTTCTTTTCCTCTCTCGTTTTCCTTTCTCTTTTTTCTTTTCCTCACTCGTTTTCCTTTCTCTTTTTTCTTTTCCTCACTCGTTTTCCTTTCTCTTTTTTCTTTTCCTCACTCGTTTTCCTTTCTCTTTTTTCTTTTCCTCCTCGTTTTTCCTTTCTCTTTTTTCTTTTCCTCCTCGTTTTTCCTTTCTCTTTTTCTTTTCCTCACTCGTTTTCCTTTCTCTTTTTTCTTTTCCTCACTCGTTTTCCTTTCTCTTTTTTCTTTTCCTCACTCGTTTTCCTTTCTCTTTTTTCTTTTCCTCGTTTTTTTCTTTTTTTTTTCTCCTCGTTTTTTTCTTTTTCTTTTCCTCACTCGTTTTCCTTTCTCTTTTTCTTTTCCTCCTCGTTTTCTTTTTCTTTTTTTTCCTTTTCGTTTTCCTTTCTCTTTTTTCTTTTCCTCACTCGTTTTCCTTTCTCTTTTTCTTTTCTTTCTCTCTTCATTTTTTTCTCCCTCTTCATTTTTCTTTTCCCCCCTCTCGTCTCCTTTTTTCTCTTCTCTCTTTCCATTTTTGATTGCGCCAATTACAGACAAGTGAAACAGTTAATTGGAGATGTGTGTATATTATCAATAACTAATTCTTATAATAAATTGAGATGTTTCTTTTTCCAGTGGCAAAAAAAATCAGAGAAACCCGTGAAAACGAGGCTCACCAAGGTCACAAACCGGTCGAATTACAAGATCCTCATCAAGGTGCTACCCTGAAGGAATTACCATCAATGTGTTTCAGTCTTCTTCGCAATCCCAGTTTCATCTTCGTCTCTTTAGCTTCGGCCAATGAAGGAATCTTGCTTTCCGGAATCTCCACATTTCTACCGAAATTCATAGAAAATCAATTTAGCCAAACAGCTTCTTGGGCTTCGATGCTTGCTGGTAAGTCAACTGTCCACCTTAGACCCTATGTGAAATTTGTCTCAAATCATTGTCATTAATTTACCCAATTTTTTTTTTTTACATTTTCCCTCTTCTCCCCCCACCCCCCATTTTTTCTCCCCATTTCCACCCCATTTTCTTTAATATCTATAAAAGTCTCACATGTGAATATCTTTATAAGCTTTAAGTATGAACAAAACAAGACAATTTTTACAGTAGGATAAATGATTTAAAAAATCATTTTGACAGGATCAGGTATATAATCTGTAATCTTTAAAACTTAACATTTAACTTAACCACCTCGACTGTTTTTGTGTGTGTGTGTGTTTTATATATATATATATATATATATATATACACACACACACAAATATATATATATATATATATATATATATATATATATAATTTCCTATTACTATGAACGTTATTTTAGTGGGTTCATGTGTTTCGGCTATGTATTCCTGAAATAAGTAATTCAGCTATAGAAACAGTTCAATTTATGTTGGTTTATTGGCGGCCATAATCTTAACAATATTAATAGCAGACACGGAAAGCAAATTACAAAAGCTCTCACAGAAGGTAATTAAGGGAAGCAAGAAGAAAAGATTAAACATCAGCTGCAAGAAGACAGAATGCATTCACAAAAGGATGAGCCCAAAACGCAAATATTTAAATATCTGGGAAGTGTTCCAACAGAGGACGGAAAGTGCGACACTGAAATCTGAAAACGCATTGGGATAACCAAAGTTGCCTTCTAAAAGCTAAGCACGGTATTAAGAGATAGAAAAACTCCGTTAGAAACAAAGTAAAAAGTACTGAATTCTTACGTGTTGCCTGTTTTCCTATATGGCAGTGAATACCAGAGGAAGAGACTTGAAGCAACAGAAATGTGTATTTACATTATTCGGACCGTTATCCTCATCGTAATTGCCATATTCACAACGTTTTGGCCGTAATGTAATACAATAATAATACCTCATCTCAGAGATATAGACAGAAACAGAAATGTGATTCTACAGGAGGATCCTGAGAACGGGGCATTTTGGGTTTTAGAGAAAATGAAAACGAAGAAGAAACTTAACATCAGGAAGAGATAGGTGAAATTTTCTGGGGCACATAATGAGGAAGGAGAGCTTGGAAAATCTGATACTCACAACACAGGTTGAGTGCAAGATGAACAGAGGGAAACAACGCATAACATACTTGATGAACAGGGTTATAGGAAAATTTATTAAAACCTTCAAATGATAGGAAATTGTGGAAAACCATCGTCACCTGCGTCCTGAGGGGACATAACACACAAAAAAAGAAGTTATTAATTTCACTGTTTAATAAATAAATAAATAAAAAGCATAGTAACTCAAACATATGTACCCACTAAAAATGACGCCTAATAAAAAAAATTCTTTTGAAAATATATATTAGGAAAATTACTAATAAAAACTGTTTCACTGTCATTAATTTATTTAATAATTTAATTTCTTGTTTAGAATGGTTAGCCAAAGTCTGTTGAAAGACCAGGATTTCGGAATGAAATTGGAATTTTTTTTTTTTTTTTTTTAAACCTTGCTTTGTTTTTGTTTATTTGTCTTGCTTTTTTTTTTCTTTTTTTTCCTCTCTTGTATTCTCTGGTCTTTATTGGGTCTTTTTTTGTTGTTGTTGTTGCTTGTTTTATTTTTTTAATAATATGGATCGTCATCGTTGCATAAATAAAACCATCGACTTCGTACTTTTTTTTTTTTTTTTTTTTTTTAATTCGATAAAGGAATGCAAAACTAATTATTTCCTGAAAACTAAAAATCTTATTTATTTTCTAAAATATCTTTCATATCTTAGGTTTTGTTGGAATTTCCGGAGCTGCTGGTGGTCAATTCTTGGGTGGCTACCTTTGCAAAAAACTTGGCCTTAACGTGTCTGGAAAATGTCGCTTATCAATAGTCACTTTGTGTCTTGGACTATTTATGTCTGCTGCTTTTTGGGCCAAGTGTGACAAAGTAAAATTCGCTGGGATTTCTGTGCCTTATTCAGAAAGGTAGCTATGATCATTTTTTTAAAAAATTATACACATACAAGAATCAGTCCCAAATTCATGCTTAATTAATCAGCGCAAAAGAATCAGTATTTTAATATTTAATCACTGAAATGGTTTGGAGGAAATGTATCGGGCTGTGAAAACTTTTCAGCACTCCCACGTATACAAAGGATGATAGACGGCTACAGGAGATCAGATCTGTTTCAGATCAGAGATCCGTTCTGAAGTAAAAGTACATTGAGCATTTTCTGGTTCTTAACTGTTAACGAAGATTTACCAGTTACGATATACGACTTTAATAACCCAACGCAAATCTCTAGTTATGATGACCGGTTTCACTCTCGGTGACGTTCCTTGCTTTGAACGTTTGCTGGAACGACTCCATTTCACTTGATATATATATATGATCCAGTGCTGGAAAAATGGTCGGTTGCTTTTACTGTTCCAGAAAGTACCAGACATTTTCTGTCATGCTTTGTCATTACAAGAGTCCGATCCGCTCAATAATGGAGTATTGCTGCCACATATAGGTCTATAGCTGTTCAATCCTCACTTTCCAGCCTTGACGAAGTTCAAAAGCATTTACACGGCCTTGTGGGTTATGAATTATTTTTCACCCCCATAACTCCTTTCCTACAGAAACAACGTCGCAAGCCTATCGAACTTTGCCAAACCCCTAAGACCGTCATAGAAAATTTAACGCAAAAAAAACGCTGTGTCAAAAAGGACATCTCTCTCTACACCGCTATTATTTTAACTACCTTCACTCCTCGCTGATTTAGAATTGTAATAAAAGTGAATTTTATATACATATATATAACATACAGGTACCATATACGCCAGCTAGATGTTTTCCTCAATCCTCACACTTGCTCCACATGTGGCCTCCTTTGTAAATCACTAACGGGTCTTAAATGCCACTTAAGATTATCGCACAAAATTTCATAACTGAATCAATAAGCTGTCAGATCCTCATACGTCGAAACCGAAGGGAAAGTCCATTTTATACACACACACACACACACACACATATATATATATATATATATATATATATATATAGTTCTTGAGAATTTAGAACAAAAGTATTAAATACTATTTATTTATTAAATTGTCTATTTACAAGAATAATTGTAGCATTCACAATTTGCCATAAAATAAATATGAAAACAATTTTTTTTATACATAAATTTATAAACCTTCACTAAATTATTAAAATATATGAACCAACTATAAGAAAATACTTATTATTTACCATTTAATAAAGTTCGAATCAATCGACCGATGTTTTGACAATTATTCCAATAAGCAATATAATTTATAAATAGTGTAAATAAACAATCAAATAAATTAAATAATGTTTACAGTGTAACCCGGATATAAGAGAGATTTTCTCTGGTCCCAAATTAGAGCCTGTGTTAATGTATATAAAATAGACCAAACCCGGATATAAGAGAAACCCGGATATAAGAGACTTCTTCTCCGGTCCCGACAACTCTTTTATATCCGGGTTACACTGTATTCTATTTATTGTCAATTCTCAATTTTTCGCCGGAACGAAGGTCCAAATTTGCAGTAATTCTTTTGGCATTAATTATTCTTTTTTAAAGTTAATAGTGATTTATGGCATTATGAACAATATATTCATAAACACCAGCTTTAATACACTGGTCTTTCTGTATATATATATATATATATATATATATATATATATATATATATATATATATATATATATTTATTTATTAAGTAGATAGTCTCAATAAAAATAATACTTTTACTTTCGATAAATTTATAAAGGGGGGTAATTCAATCAAACTCGTTCAAGGGAGATAATTACTTACTTAATTGAAGTTTTACACGTTCTTTCAATAATGAATGAAGAGAAATGGTTATTAAATTTTAAGATTTCTTTCTTTCTTTCTCTCTTTTCCAGTAATGTTAATCCTTTACAAGTCCCAGGGCCACTCTAGGTAGAGAGTTACGTTAAGGGGATGTTTATACCGACAGGAGGGGAAGATAACGGTTGAGTCTAGACATGAACAGGTAAAGATTGTAGTGATCGGGAAAACATCTTCTAGGGAGTTTGTTCCAAACAACAGTGGTTGACGGGAAGAAACTGTTTGAATAGGTGTGGAATGTGGGTGGTTTGCTACAATGTAACTGGCCATTAAGGGTAGAACTGACGGAACCAAGGAATGTATGTAGTTCGTCCGAGCACTTTTCGTGAAAGTAGCGACAGAGAAGCGAGAGGCTCGCCACATTCTGTGTGTGTGTGTGTGTGTGTGTGTGTGTGAGAGAGAGGATGTGGTTGGAGGGTGGATAATAATTAGTCACCCACAAGGTCTCTGAGACGCTTTTAATCTCTATCGAAGCTGGAGAGTTCTGTCTGGGCAGCTCCCGCCCAAATGTAACAATATTACTCGATTTAGGACCTGATCTGGCTACTGTAATGGTAGAGGATACCACTTGGAGTCCGGCACAGGGAGCCGACTATTTTACCTGCATCCTTATCGATGGCTCGTATGTACGAATTCCACTTGGGGTCAGGTGTGAATTTGAGGCCCAATAGTCTCTCAAGGCACGGTGCTTCTCTGAGGGGTCTGGGGCATCCGTTCATTGTGACTTACGGTAGTTTGGGGTCCGATTGACGATGATGGAATGTAACTAGTTTGGTTTTTGAGGCATTGGATGTGACCAACCATTTTTTCCCTAGTGCTTAGTCCGTGCTAGATTGGAAGATAGCTCAGCTGCCGATCTCTTCTCATCAAGAGTTTTAGAGGTACACCCGTGTATCGTCGTATCATCGGAATAGATATTTACAAATGACCTGAGAATATTTTTAGGCAAATCATTTAAGTAAATCAAAAAGATGTTTGGCCTGAGGAGTGACTCCTGCGTTGATTGCCAGGGCCCCGGAGGACTGGCTATTAATCACTACCTTCAGGAACCAACTTGTTAGGAAGGATTTTATAATCGAGAAGACCCTTCCACAACTTGTAAAATTTTGTAAGTTGAAATCCCGGATGATCTCGGAATGGTAGTAAGCCGAAGAATTTAGTTTTGCTTCAAATTGAAAAATCAAGAAACATATAAAATCTTATATTTACTATTTATTTAATTTGCTTAATATATGTAATTTATTTGTATTTTTATATCAATATTTAATCTATTTTTTTTTTTAAATTAATTTTATTTACATTGTTTGGACTGTTGCCCTCATCTTTATTGCCATATTCAAGGACCTAGTGGAGAAAAGCGTTGGCTAGCTCCAGTGACTCGACCCAAGGAGTTGTGAATTCAATACCTGGCTACTGTGTAGAGGGCCTGTCGGTGTGACTTCTCGAATTCATATTTACGCAAAATACCACAAAATATGAAACAATAAGAAGGAACACAAAACGGCTTTATAACAAAAACAAGATTTATATTTATGTATGTAATGATAGACAAGTATAATTAATAGGAGTTAATTCCCTTTGACTGGAATTAGAGTCTTAACTAAGGAAATACTTTTTTATCTGAGCTCATAGACAGTTGAATGAACTTGAAACTCAAATTATTCACTGTGAGAGAGTTAAAAGAATTCTGTAAAGCTGAGAATATGTTGACAAACTTTTAGCTTCAGAAGACTTGAAGGAGTGAATGTTCCGTAATGTTTAGTTTCCGTTGCTTGAAGTTGAATATTCGTAATATGTTGATGCTTGTAATCTTATATAATGTTCCGTAATTAATTTTCCGTACGTACGTGAATGTGTGCGTGTGTGAAATGTTTTCATAGCGTCCGCTCGAAATGGGTCGGAACGCGATTTCTTAAACAACTACATTTTTAGTAAACGAGAGAAATCAAAAAGAAGGAAGAACGAACTTGTCTGGTATTTATAATTAACGTAATCACGTGATCGGCGCGAAAGAGCCTTTCTGATTTTTGGCGGAAAAATGGTTTTGAATAGCGCGTAGGCGTTGTACGAACGTAGGCGAGAACATGATTTTAATATTGTTTGTAATTAATTTTCTGTTACTTGTAGTTGAATATTCGTAATATGATGATGCTTGTAATTTTCTTTAATGTTCGTAATTAAGTTTCTGTTGTAGTTGAATATTCGTAATATATTGATGCTTGTAATTTTCTGTAATGTTCGTAATTAATTTTTTGTTACTTGTAGTTGAATATTAGTAATATGTTGATGCTTGTAATGTTCTTAATGTTTATAATTAAGTTTCCGTACGTACGTGTATGTGTGCGTGTGTAAATGTTTTAATAGCGCCCGTCCGAAATGGGTCGGAACGCGATTTCTTAAACAGCTATATTTTAGTAAGCGAGAGAAATCAAAAGACCCATTTCAATTTTTTTTTTATCTGTCTATATTTCTGAGATGAGGTACTCCTAACTATTTACGCTATTTACATTGTTCGGGCTGTTGTTCTCATCTTTGCTTTCATATTCACGCCGTTTCGGTCGTTGTACGCTCCGGCCTTGTTGTATACGTTGGAATTTCAAACCGTTGGCCCAGTGTTGGATAACTGCATTGGTTGAAGTAATCCAATGGCTTGACCCAAAGAGTTGTGACCTCAATATCTGGCCATAGCAGAGATGAGCAAAAACGTGGAATGTTGAGTTACTAAAGGGAAATAACTAAAACTGAGATATCCAGAAAAGGCATGGCATGTGGAACTAGAACAATCTACCCCAGTGAACTAAATAAAGGGTCCGGTTCGAAATTTCAACGTATATCACCTGAAGAAAGCCGAAGCGTACAACCACTGAAACGATGAGGACAACAGTCCAAATAATGTAAATAGTATAAATAATTATTTGTATTTATTTTACTTATTTCCGATACATACTGTTTGCTTTTAACGAGTGTAGAATATTAAAAAATATTAGAAAAACAACAAATATAACATAAAAAAAATAATCTTAAACATTTATTGATAAAATATATTTAATAAATGAAAATTTTTCACATGATGACAATAGTAGGAATTGAACCCACTACCAATGTTCTGAAATGTTTACTGACCATCGCACCCCGTTTAAATGCTTAATGTACAATTAGTCGTCATTACATCACTTGTTCTTTTCAGTTCAATGGCTCTAACCGGAACTACGAGTTCTCTCCCCTTAGCTGATAATCCAGTAGATGCCACTTGCAATAACCTTTGTCACTGCAATGAAGAATATTTTAATCCAGTGTGTGGCTCTGATGGTATACAGTACTTCTCGTCTTGCCATGCCGGCTGTATGACGTACAACAAAACCGGAAAGGTAAGAACATGAAATTTTAATTAGAATGTAAATGCAGATGATCGTCAGAATTGAACAAAAAATATCCTTTCAAAAACGTTCTAATATTTAATCAGCTTTCTATCACGAATTGTTGAAACATTTGGTTTTGTGGCGTATAATTTAGAGCCGTTTCACATCAACGTCACATTTTTTTCTCTCTCTCTCGTTCATCAGAATAAATTACCATGAAAATATTTATAGAAAAGGTACAGAGAAGTTATTGTGGTGGAAAAAGTGACTAAAGCTGAGATGCCAGGTAAGGACTGATAACATTACAGATTCTTTAGATTTCGTCAAGAATCTTTAATCATCTTCTGTCAGAAGCACCAGACCAAATATGAGAGCAATATTCAATGCATGGACGAATTATAGACTTATAAAGATAAGGTAGATTCCGGCGTGAAAATTCTCTTGCACGATACAGTGAACCAAATTTCCTTGCAGCAGATCTTGCAGTTGATTCAATATAACCGTTCCACTTCATGTCAGTGGAAAATCTTAGCCGTACAGGTTGCAATGAGGCACTCTCGTGGAGGATAGCATTAGACTTGGATCAGGGTTATTAATACTGGATTTAATTATTTGGAATGGGATAGACTCTCGTTCCAAAGAGAGTACAGTGTAGCATCAAGAGCGTGCAAAAGGGGGGCATAGGGGGCGACGGCCCCGGACATCCATATCAGGAAGACATCCAATCAAAGAGTGAAATAAAAATGTAGTTTATATTTAATTTGAATAAAGTGTTTATTTCACGATTAATATTTTTTTTTTTTTTTTTCATATTAAAATGTCTTCCTTTCTCAGTGCTAGGCCCTCTAGGCCCGCTCAACTTGAGTCTTAGGGGTCATACAATCAAGAAATTGGCCCCAAATATCACCAACCAAATCTTTGTATATCACTGGGTAGCGTTTACGATTTTTTACCAAAAACAGAAAAGAAAAAATGCATAAAGCTTTGCTTGTACTCCGCACGAATATTGTAACTCGCCAATACCACCCCTTCTCCCCCCTTTTCTCACGCCGCCTTCTCTCCCCCTTTTCTCACGCCGCCTTCTCTCCCCTTTTCTCCGCCGCCTTCTCTCTCCCTTTTCTCACGCCGCCTTCTCTCCCCTTTTCTCTCTGCCTCTCTCTCCCTCACTCTCTCTCTTCTCTCCTCTCTCTCTCCCTTCTCTCCTCTCTCTCTCCTTCTCCTCTCTCTCTCTCCCCTTCTCTCCTCTCTCTCTCCCTTCTCTCACTCTCTCTCTCTCCCTTCTCTCACTCTCTCTCTCTCCCTTCTCTCACTCTCTCTCTCTCCCTACTCTCACTCTCTCTCTCTCCCTACTCTCACTCTCTCTCTCTCCTTCTCTCTCTCTCTCTCTCCCCTTCTCTCTCTCTCTCCGTCTCTTCCTTCTCTCACTCTCTCTCTCCGTCTCGTTTCTTTCTCTCTCTCTCTTCCCGTCTCGTTTCTTTCTCTCTCTCTCTCTTCCCGTCTCGTTTCTTTCTCTCTCTCTCTCTCTTCCCGTCTCGTTTCTTTTCTCTCTCTCTCTCTCTCTCTTCCGTCTCGTTTCTTTTTTCTTCTTTTCTCTCTCTCTCTCTCTCGTCCCGTCTCTTTTCTTTCTCTCTCTCTCTCTCTCTCTTCCCGTCTCGTTTCTTTTCTCTCTCTCTCTCTCTCTCTTCCCGTCTCGTTTCTTTTCTCTCTCTCTCTCTCCGTCTCTTCCCGTCTTCTTTTCCGTCTCGTTTTTTTCTCTCTCTCTCTCTCTCTCTCTTCCCGTCTCGTTTCTTTTCTCTCTCTCCCTCCCTTTCTGTCTTCTCTCTCTATTTATATTCGTTTCCCGCCAACGTAACTGCTTTCAACTGATTTCTTTTCTATTTTTAGGTCTACCATAACTGTGCCTGTATTTCTCCTTTGAATAAAACTGCTAAACATGAAGCGACTGAAGGCGTATGTCCGAAAAAGACTTGCATCTATCTTCACATTGCATTGTTTATCCTTTTCTTTTTCATCATCACAACATTCCTGGCTCAGACTCCTATCATTGCCATTATATTACGGTAAGTAGAATGTCAAATTTACTACTTCTTTAATCCGGCACTCTTGAGACCCGCTGGACTCCAGAAAATACCGGATGACAGAAATCACGCTTAAAAAAACACCTGTAAACATAATCTTGCCATATCCTTCAATATATATATATATATATATATATATATATATATATTGTGTAATTAGGCAGCAATCCTTCTTTTATGCACATTTCATTGAATACGACAGACAAGGTGCTTTGATTTAGTTTTTTTTATACAATTTCTCATGCGATCTAATAATTTTCTTCTTTTCAGATGATAAATTATATAAAAACTGTCCAAATGTTCTTTTTTCCGAGCGCTTTCGGCTGTACATTTAGCCATTTTCAATGATGAACTGATTTAATTGTTAAATAAGAAATAGTTTGTTGCATTTATATAATGTTTTTCAAAACACTGTCAAGATATTATATCCATGTTTATAGTTGATATTATTGATTGTTGGTTTTTTTTTTTATTTTTAAAATGCTTGCATTTATATATATATATATATATATATATATATATATATATATATATAAAATGCAAGCTGTATCAAAAATACTTTTACAAACTTTGAAGTGGGTTCCTCAAGCCAAAACAAGGACAAAAGTCCATATAAACATATGTACAAAAGGCCATCGTTTTATCTCAACGCAATCTGATACAGCCGTGCAGCCTCGCGTTCATTACCATTCGCGCGGTCGTATGTAAAAATCATATCTGCCTGCTCACAATATGAATATCCTGCCATTCTCAAACGGAACACTTCTCAGTTAACTTACTAATGCATATGTTAAATGCTGAAGACGGACTAGCCACTAATGTACACGAATGACAAATGTAACCTAGTCTACAGGACAACACAGCGCCATCTACCGTAAACTTTCTTTAAAATTAATAACTCAAAAACGAAGGATTTGAGGACCTGTTTATATGGACTTTTGTCCTTGTTTTGGAGTGAGGAACCAGACCCCAAAGTTTGTAAAATTATTTTTGATAACACAGCAATATACAGAGTGTATCAAATGTAGAACAAATTTTAAAACGGGAAATAAAATCATCATTAATACTTCCATACTTACTGGTTCATGGAATACAAAGGCTAAAAAGCCGAAAATCTAAAAAAATAATTGATACTTACTATTCTGCATACAGCTATATACAGTGGGCTATAAGATTTTAGCTACATTTCATTACAGCAATTTTGGCTTGTGCCATAACGTCTCTTCTTTCTTTCTTTCTTTTTTTTTTTTTTTTTTTTTCAGTCAATGCTGTGTTAGTACCAAACTACTCTCATTTATGAACGATAGTAAATAATAGGATGACATCATTGTGGCAAGTCACAGAAATTGCTAAGTTTTTTCCAGGTTAATCATCAAACAGTTAATAATATTGTCAAGAAATTTAATGAAGAAGGCCATTGTCGTGTGGAACAACGTTCAGGAAGTCTAAGCATCGTGTCTGAGCGAATGAAAAGGTTGCTGAAGAGGGAAGTCATCAGAAACCGTCACCAGAGCGTCAAAGATGTCGCCAACAGCATGGAAATGTCACCATATGCGGTGATAAAAACTCTGAAAGAACTAGGCTATCAAAGAAGAGTTGCAAGAAAGAAGCCATTGATTTCAGAGGTTAACAGGGACAGGCGTATGGACTGGGTGAGAGAATTCGAGAGCAAAGATTATGAATTTTGTCAGTGTGTAATTTGGTCAGACGAAAATAAATTCTGCCAATATGTGAATTCGAAGCAGGCAGGTTTGTTTGAAGAAATCAGAATGAGATTTGGAACACTGAATTTCAGCAGGCGACCATCAAGCAGGGAGGGATTAAAGTAATGGTGTGGGTCGCTGTCTGGTTTTGGGGAAAATCTGAGCTGATTCTCGTTGACGAGCGGTTGAATAGTCCAAAATACTGTCAAATATTAGAGAAAGGACTACTCCCACTATTTGAAACCAATCCGATTAACAAGAATGTTTACCTTTTTCAAGAAGATGTAACGCCATGTCATACGGGCAAAGGCCTGGAAGGAATCGCAAGGAATCAAGTCACTGCCATGGGTAGCCCGAAATCCTAACATGAATCCAATAGAGCACATTTGGAAGCCCCTTGACCGAAGACTTCGAGAGCCTGCAACTAAAATGACGTCAGTGACAACCCTTAAAGATACATTGCCACAGGAGAGGTAAAATATGGATCAAACGATTGTTGATAATTTGATCAAATCCATTAAAAATCGACTGAAACCAGCAACTGGAAGACCTACTCATACTAATTCCAAATACTGTTTATGTTGAGTTGGGATTGCGTAATTAAATTTTGAAATTGGATGTAGTTTATTTCTCCTGGCTAAAAACTTTTCTTAGGCCACCGTACAAGAAATGAGCAAGGCTGTATCACATCACCAAAGTACTTTTCTGCTGTCGCCTACTATGGAAAGTTGTAAACAACATGTAGCTCTGCTCTCGTGTGTATACGACTAAGGTGGTTACTTTTGATGTCTCCCTCTCTCTTAGTCTTTTACCAACTGAACACATCATCCCAACGTTATATCTCGATTTTCGTGTGAGTCTCTACGCACAATAAGGGAAAGGCCCGGCGTACGTTCCCAACATGAATAAAAGGTGGAAAATATCACCACAACGAGGCCTGAAAAAGTGAATTCTGTTCTCCAATATATTTTATTATTAATTCAGGTATTCAGTTGTACCGTATGGATGGGTAGTTAATTAACACTTTATACATCTACTGCTACTTCTCTCTTGGCAGATTAATGGACAAGAATTTGCTTGGGTCGACGAAAACTCCGACTTCTCTACTATCCTTGTGTCTATCAACTTGCATCATGTCGCGTGGCTCATAAATCCCTAACGTGAGGTCTCGAACTCTCTCAGCAGACAGCTTGAACTTCGCCAACAGGCATACATCGGAACTACTGTCATTTTTAATTAACTACCTACAGATGGCATACGTTCCCGAAAGTTTTCATTTATTTATTTATTTTATTCTTTTATTTTTGATCAATGGATGTCCTCTTTACAGATCTTACTTCGTAGACTTTACTGCTACTCATGAAATAATTTAGGGCCCATTTAACATCACGTGTTTTAATGACGGCTGGATCCCGTTGTGGACGTTGAAACTTGTCATGATCTCATTTTCAGGACGTTTTATTAGCGCCTTGTATAGAATTTTTTTTTTTTTTTTTTTTTAACCTGCAAAAATTGTAAGGACAATAATGCTTACTTTTTAATCAATATTTTATGGAATATCAACCAAGCTTACTTTGTAAAGCATAAATATGTTCGTAATAAAATACAAATTTTATTCTAGTGAATATGAATTTTTATTTTATAGGTGCGTACCGGACAATCATAGAACTTTCGGGGTCGGATTGGCCAACTTTATTAGTCGTATCTTTGGTAAGTACTATTGATACTATTCCAATATATTGAAACAACAAATCGTACATTGACTATGCTTTTTTACTAAGGGTTTCAAAATAGAAATTAAAACGGCTGATTCAAACGATTGTTCATATATATATATATATATATATATATATATATATATATATTATATAAAGAAAAATTTATTTTTTTTTTTGTGTCACGCCGTTCTCTGTAGTCTGTATCGGGTTCTGTCACTCGGAGGGTCATCATGCGGTAAAGACGAGCGTCAAGCCACTTCGGTTGGAGAAGTCAGAAGGTAGATGGTCTACTACTGTTTCTTTTGTCTCTCTCTTATATCTCTCCTCTCTCTCTCTATCTCTCTATCTCTATATATCTCTATATCTCTCTCTCTATCTATATATATATATATATATATATATATATATATATATATATATATATATATATATATATATATATATACCCTGACGAGTGGACGGACGGGTCCGTCTACAAAACTCTGAAGTCGGAATGTTGAAGGTAACATCAATCAGCTAAGTGACAAACGTTGTATTAATTATGTATATCTCCACAGTTACTGCTACATGATTTTATATTTGATTATCAAAAAGTGGTCACAATTCAATTTTTCAATCACAGATATCATGACCTTCAATTTTTATGTCTCCCTCAATGCAATTCTTTGACTGACTCTAGTCATGGATTCGTTTCTTCTATATTGTTCTTTTAACAATGGACCAATTAATCAAATTTCTACAGTCAAATGTAGTAGCATATCCGACATTAAAAAACAAACTTGACCATTAAATCACATTTTGACATGTTATATTGTCCTTTATTCGGACATAACCCTTACCTCTTCTAAATGATTAATCTGTCTATTGTCCACCTGTACAAAGTTATTGTTTCTTCGGATTTTGATACCTGCTTGATTTTATCAAAATCTTAATTAGAAAATTCAATTTTGATTTTACTTTCTTTTTTTTTTTTATCACTAATTCTAAAAGCTATATCCTGAACTCTATCAAGACCATATTTATTTCATGTCATTTTATTTTTATTTTTGGCTTACTACATATTGTTTAAAATATAAATTAGGAAATCACTAATTTCTAAAACTCCCATGACCACCACTTTTATATATTCTTTATTTTTAGTTACTTTCTAAAATGTTTTAATATTTTTTTATAAACATATTTCAACTAATATTTATTTTGTTAAACTGTTTAAACATTTTTGTTTTAAACAATATTTTTGTTTGTTTTTAAACGCGTTCTTTTCTTATGTTTAGTTGTCAATTTAGTTTTTCAAACACCCAACATTATGCGAGTATATACCCTATTCTCTAGGGATGTGAACAAGGTGGAAATGTTTAACACTCTGTTTTTCTGATATTTAACCAACTGAAAGTAAAATCTGATGCTTTGTAAAATTCCAGCGTTCTTTAGTGGTGTGTTCTGTCATGTCACAATTTTCTAATTTTAAACAATTGTTCCACATATTTTTCAACGTTTTTATTTGTTGGTGATTTTGTTTTCTGTCTTGTTTTCTGTTTTTTTTTCTGTTTTTTTTTTTTTTTTTTTTTTTTTTTTTTTTGTTTGTTTAAATTTTAATGTTACACTTTCGGACATTTTCCTGTAATCTTAAAAATTATTTTCTAAAAGATTCGGGCTTTTTGAAAACTGAACATTTTTCTAATTTAAAATTTTTCAAACTTTTGCTAATTTAGGAATTTTTTTTCCACTCCTTTTTATTTATTTTCAGATATTGTTTTCGAACTTTTGATATACACAAGTTTTTTGGGGTTTTTTATCGTAATTTAAAAGCAAATTTGAACTTTTTTTCAAATTCTTCACAAAGACCTATTGCCTTTCTGAAATTTTCAGTTTAAAATGAAAAAATATGTTGCTTTTTATATATGCTTTAGAATTTATATTTTCCAATAGCTGTTTTCCTACTACAGTGTAACCCGGATATAAGAGAGATTTTCTCTGGTCCCAAATTAGAGCCTGTGTTACCTAAACAAAATAGACCAAACCCGGATATAAGAGAAACCCGGATATAAGAGACTTCTTCTCCGGTCCCGACAACTCTCTTATATCCGGGTGACACTGTGTGTGCATTTTCTTTCTATTTCAAACTTTGAACTTTTATCTTAAACTTTTCAACGCCTGACTCGATATTGTGAACTTTTTTTCTAAACGGATATGAATTAAGATTTAAAAAATTTTTTGTTAACTTTTATATTTCTGAACTGTTTTTAGATTTCTGGATTAGTTTTCTGTAATTTATTTTTAGCGTTGTTTTAATTATGTTTTTCATATTTTCTAGGAACGCTTCCGGGACCATTACTTTTTGGTTTTGCGATTGACAAATCTTGCATGGTATGGAAGAAAAGTTCTTGTGCTGAGGAACTCTCTTGCTGGATTTACAAAGATCGAACTTTATCCAGGAATTTCTTCATTCTTGTTGTGGTCGTGCGAACATTTTCCATTCTCTTCATGGTCTTAGCCAATTACTTGTACAAACCTCCGACACAGAAAGTACAAACTGTAATAGATGAAAGCCAGGCGTATATCAATCCTGTAGCAGCAGAAGGAGTTTAACATTGAAAAGAGAAAGATGGGTGATAAACTCAAAACATATCAACTCAAAACTTATTTAGAAAAAAAAATTAAAAATAAAACTGTACATAGAATCTTTCCAAACTTAGACATTGCAAAGAAGACATTTTCTGAAAATAACTTCCGGTGGACAATTTTCTTTTTACTGGAAAACTCGATCAGTGCTTCTGGGTCCCGTTGATGCGTAGGGGATATCTAAAATATTTATATTTCAAGATTTTTCTACCTCTGTGCTATATATATATATATATATATATATAAAATATAGATCTGATCGATAATCTCCTTGGTTTGCAAAGTTTAAAAAAATTGTATAAATTGAAATTCCATAGAAAAAAACAATCCATTTTTTTGGGGGAGGAGGGTGGCTTTTTTTTTTTTTTTTTTTTTTTTTTTTTTTTCAACAGAAGTATTCATTGAATAAAACTAACAATAACTCAAGGCAGTAATCTCAAGTTATTTTCCAACAGTTTTCTGCTTTTCGTTTAGTGTCACCTGGAACTTGACTGTAGATTTCTCAAAACAGATATTATGCAATAGAAATATGAGACTAATACCATCTATTGGGTAATCAAAATTTAGCTATATATATATATATATATATGTAAACGGTTTTAAAATTATATACTTGTATTTAAACTCCCAATTATCTTGATTATAATTAAATATTCCGAGTCGATGCAGTTCGATTAACCTGTTTAAATTAGACAAATGTTTTATGCCTAAAATGACTACATTGAAAATAGTAAAAAAAAAATAAAACTTAAAACCTGGATAACTTATGAATTGTGTACTTTTCAAATCGCTGTTTACCCAATCTAACATTCACTATTAATACTAAACAAAAAACGATCGCTTACTCATTTGGCTCAGTGGTTTTGGATGGAATGGTATTAATTAGACCTTATTCAAATTGCTACGTTTCTGTTACTTTTTACCAGTCATAAAATTGCCTGAAACCAATAACACAAAATACTGAGTGCTATGCGAAAGATTAACAATTTAGTGGAGTATTTTTTTATTATGATAACTAACCTTAAAACTTGAAGTGGGGAGTATCCCGCTTAGCTTGGTTTTATGGTCACTATGAAGAGACATCTCTTGTGGATCGAACTCTTTACGCAACTATGTTTTGCGAGTTCAGCTTATGAAAAGAAATACAAGGCATCCATCAAAATGTCTACACACTTCAAATAAAATTAAAAAGAAACGGCTTTGGTTATTGTAGGAAGGCTAAAAAAAAAAAATTACCAACGTGAAATTGTGCGATAATTCACTTTAATTTTAGCTGCTGTATTAGCTGATGTTTGCGACCGAGTCTCTTTGCGAGTCAGTAAAAGCTCTTCTAAAAGAGCGTCATGGTTATCGGTAAAGAGTTTGTAAATAATTTATAGAGGGATTACCAATTGTGGAAGAGATATATTGAGAAAAAGAGATCCTGTTAATACGAAACCGCATTACAGTTTCTTCAAGTAAGAAAATGTAAGAATGAATATAGAAATAATTTTGTGTATTTAACAAAATGTTTTATTGCCTGAGCAAACTAAATAGAAACAATACAAAAGAGTGAATGTAGGATGATGTCGTGAGGTGCCGATTTCCTTGAGTGCGTGTATGCAAGGTTCCGATGAAATTGAAACAGTTGAGATGAGTTCTTTGTTAGAATTATGTAGGTAAACCTGTAAGTTTTGAATTCTTTTTTATTCGATATTACTTCATATTACTATAAACGTTATTTTTTTATTTTTTTTTTTTTTTTTTTAGTTGGCGTACCTATTTGTTTCTATCTCTGCTTTATTCTTCTTCTTAAACAGTAAAATTAATAACAACTAGCTGAGTTTGAGAAGTTCTCAAAGATTTGTGCTTCCGACAGGAATCGAACATGTATCTCCGTTTTTCCATCAGGAGAAACTGTTGCCAAAACCTGCCTTTACCAATTTGGCCACGTTGATAGAGAAAGGCTTGAATTTAAAAAAAAAAAATTGTGCATTCCTTAAACGGGCAATTCGGCTATAGAAACGGTTCCCCCTGATAGAAATAGTGGATACGGGTCCGATTTCCGTTAGAGGCACTATCTTTTAGTAGGACTTCTCAATCTCGGCCAGTTAATATTTATTAATTTAAGAAAAACGTAGATAGCAACTCTTTAACAGCACCCCCCCCCCACGAGGAATGTATGTAACAGAAGGCCGAGTTTAACGTGGGTTTCTCCGAGCCCGTAGGCTCGGCCAAAAATATCCCCTTTGAACTCGCATAAGTGGGTTCGGGATCTGTCTACCTCCACGGACGAAACTTTACCCTTCGGCAAAGCCTCGTCCTGGTTCCTCTCTGCCAAAGCAGAGAGTTCGACAGAAGTCGCACACAGTCAGAGATCGCGTCTACTCAGAAATAGCAACTCAAATACGTGTATGCACTAAAATAACTTTTATAGTAATAAAGAAATAGACCTGTGTGTAGTCAAGTAAGCTTAGGTCGTTTGTATGCTGTGTCGTAATCAATACTACATGAGGTTCGCTAGGGACTTAAATCTCCCAGAAGGGGAAACGAGACACGTCATATCTCAAAATGGCGAAAAAAGACTTCTTGTGCCTTTACTGCTTTTGACAAGTCGATCTAGTGGTCACTAGCAGAAGTTGTTTGGAAACTTTCAGCTAAAACTACTTATAATCTTTTTACGTTTAGTAGTGGGCGTTTTATTTAATATATATTTTACGTCTTACGAATCTTTTGAACCTTATTTAAACATTATATATATATATATATATATATATATATAGGTTTAGTAATACGTGTGTTATTAATTAACCTATAGCTGGGTTCATTATATTCTCTTATTGGCAAAGATATGAATCCAACTAGAATTGGAACTCGGCTCTCCTGATTCCAGTTCCAAGCCATTATCCATTACACCACTCGCACATCCGAGCTTACAGCACTTGCTATTCCCAAGTGATCGCCCATCTAGTTTCTGACTAGCTTTGATGTTGCTTAACGTCGGTTTATTTACTATGATGAGAGACGTGTATCTTGCATTGAGATTGTGATAAACTTAATCAACCTAGTTTTAAATGACATTTTATATAATATCGTTTTAAGTTACTACAACACAAAAACTGTATTATAAAAATTCAGACTTGCATTAAAAAAAGAATAAAAGAAAACCGTATTAACATTTTTCTTCCCTGGATTTGGGCATCAACAAACTTCAGGGGTACACGCCCTTTATTTACTGTTTTGATATAATAGTAAAAAAAAAAAAAAAGATTTTTTTTCCCTACCCACCCCAATGAAATCGTGGATCCGAGTTCGAATTCCGTTCGTGTTCATTTCATTAACTTACGTGCAAATACAATTGGCTTAGGAAAAGATAGGAATTCAACTTCTATCCCCAGCTATGGGTTAAATAGTATGACTTGTATCAGGAAAATCATTGCTATGCTAAAAAAAAAAACTTGTAATACAATATTCACTTGCTAAGAAAAAGAATTATTCTTACAATACGAAATGTTACGGATTTAAACCCCAAAGAGTTGATAATCTCTCTCTTTTCTCATGCGTACACACACACACACATATATATATATATATATATATATATATATATATATATATATATATATATATATATATATATATATATATATATATATTATATAGGCATGTCTCCTTTAAATGTCTGATTAAAGGTGCTTTTTATTTAGGTTTTTTTTTTTATACAATTTCTCGTGCATCATCTCCATGCAAAAAAAGGCAAAACATAATGGCAGCCTTAGTAATAAAAACAACACTTAATATTATTAACTTTGAACATGGACACAATATGTTGAGCGTGTTTTGAAAAATGAAAACATTTTATAAAACATACATACAACAAACTATTTCTTATTTAACAGTTAAAATATTTAATCCTTGAAAATGGCTAAATGTATAGCTGAAAAAAAAACATTCGGACAGTTTTTATATAATTTATCATCGGAAAAGAATTAAAAATTAGATTGCATGAGAAATTATATAAAAAAAACTAAATCAAGGCACCTTGTCTGTCGGATTCAATGAAATGTGCATGAAAGGATTGCTGCCCACACACATACATACATACATATATAACACTTATTTCTCAATAAGTTGGTACATGAATTTAAGCAATATTAAAAAGGAACGAGATCAGATCTGTATAGATAATTTCGGAAGCCTGAGAGTAATCAGCTCTACCCCACACCCGTAGATTAAATAAAAGATTCAGTTCAATGTTTCCTGAATCGATAAGCACATGACGAAGGCCTGAGAGTACAGCGACAGAAATTGTGATATATTATTTTTTTTTTTTTTTTTTTTAAACAATAAATAAAAATAAGATAAAGACATTGATCTGCAAGTAAATCACTCCCCCATCCCATAAAATCAGACAGAAATAATACAAATATGTCCTGCTTGTTAGATATGAGGATTGTTTATTTTGTAATGCTCGGTATAAGAAATCTGTGGCAAATTCATTACGTCCACTTACGTGCAAATACCCTTGTGAAATGTATGATTTCATCTCTTGTCCCCTACCTCTGGGTTAACTAGAACTTGTTTCATTATCTGCCAAAAGAATTTTTAATGTAATATTCACTTGAAAAATAATTATTCTTACAATCCCAAATCGATTTCGGCTTTAATAACCCACAAAGGATTAAGTCGTAAGAAAACAAAAACAAACAAATCACTCATTTTTTAATGTTCTTGATACTCCCAAAAGTGGATTCTGAATTCGATAGAGAAATAAGTTGGAAGAGATGACATTGAGAGTCAATGTAATGTGTAAAGAGCCGATAACTCTGACTTCAGCAACACTCACCATCTTTCCTGCTCGTGAATCCACTCGTTGTGATATATGTTGCGGGATTTAACGCTTCTTCTATGACTTGTGAACGTTTTTTTTTTTTTTTTTTTTTTTTTTTTAAGTAAATGTGTAACGCTCCTGTACATTTGTCCCGCAA